GGGGGCTAACTCAGGGGAAATAACTCGCAATTTTGTGGGCAAATAATAAATGTTCTAGGGGAAATTTTATATGCCCCTGTGGGCCAATAAACACTCCGTTACAGCTATCATATGTCAGTCAGTGGAGTCTGATGTAGGCCTAGTACTAACAATTAATTTAATTTACTAGAGGTGGTAGAAGTTGGAAAGTAGTGATTCAAGATGCTTAAGTCCTGAGTTTGTTTAAAAAAAAAAAAAAAACTGGCCATGATTGTGATGGTCAGGACCTGATTTGTATTATAATAGAGGTTTCATCTGTCAAAGTACTAGCGGCTTATTTAGGCCTTTATGTTGTTTTTTGGGGGTTTTTTTGCTCATTAACAGTGGTCAGTGAACATCAGCCTAACTTTTTATAAATATGTGGAGCATCATGGTGAAATCAGGCGCCCGTCAAAATAATGAAGTTAAAGAAATCAGCATTTTAAAAACTGATAGGCAATTTTTGTGTGATTTTCTTTTTTTGGCTCAACATCTTTTATGTCCATTCAAAAACACATTTTGGTGGATTTTACTGAAAAACATTGATTAAAGGAACAAAAAATGTAAATTTTCAGTTTCCAAGGACTCTCACTCAGGCTATAGAAGAAACCAAACTTTGGCGGCCATTTTGTTGCCAATTCTCGCTAATTTTGCGTCTGAAGCCAGGTGACCCTGACTTCTTTGAATCGCAAATAATTCGATATATATCGATATTTTTTTTTTTCACTCACTAAAAGGGAGGCAAATGAACATGCTCTAAGATGATAACAATAACCACATATTATGCCCAAAAACTGACGAGCGCTTGATTCCTCCTTGTAATGACACAACTATATATGCTTTATTTACTGTATTGTTGATTTATGATGTCTTTGTCTTTTTAACTCTTTGAACCCCATCGGATGCTGGGAGCGTCCAGTACTAGTGACAACTGTTTCGTTTTATTTAGTGCTAGTTTTTGCTTGTTTTCGAACCAAGTTTTTTAGAAAGGACTAAACCTTTGTTTTCCGCTATTTTGAAGTTGGAGGCAAGCTTTTAGGGTTATAATGAGACATAGTGCATCAGGTTTAGATGACTGTAGGAAAAAACACTCTGCGAAATGGTGGAAAAAACTCAGGACTTAAAGAGTTTTAGAATTCTTTTGTGTTTTTGAACTTGTGTTTACGCTTTTTTGGGTTTTTGTTTTGTTTAGCTCCTACACAAATATTTGTTCCTTTTTGTATTTTTTATATGTGGGCCTATGCAACTGCACAAAATCACGTTTTTTTCTGGTGTTGTTTTTCAGGGTTGAGAAGTACCGACCAACAAAACTGGAAAACATAGTTGGGAATGAAGAGACAGTCAGCAGATTGGCAGTGTTTGCCAGGGAAGGGAATGTGCCAAATGTCATTATTGCCGTAAGTATTAGACTGTTAGACGGTTAATTTACTAGAGTGTGGTTAGCGGATGGTTTTGATTTTTTAAATTTTATAGTAAAATGTTAAGACTAAAATACCAAAACTTAAGATCTTACAATCTAGATCATGTGACCACCTTCCCCCTTCCTAACTAATCAAAAGCAACCCTAAGTTAGCCCCTTCACTGTGTGCTCACGCCTTGAGTACGTATCTTTTCCTGTCACTTGCTTGCCCTCACAGGGTTCTGTTGTCCTCCTCATGTCAATCAGTTGCTCGCTCTCTCTCTCTCTCTCTCTCTCTGTTTGCCTACTGCATTGAAACCCCAAGTTTTCGTGCTACCCATTTTGATTTTGTTGTCCCAATGTTACATGTATTCATTTCTCTGTTTGTTTTTGCTCTGGTGGTGGTTCACTTTCATTTTCAGTTATTTTATTTTATCTCAGGGTCCACCGGGAACTGGGAAGACCACAAGCATTCTGTGTTTAGCCAGGGCCTTGCTTGGAAGTTCCTTCAAGGATGCTGTGTTGGAGCTTAATGCTTCAAATGACAGGTGAAAATACTGGACTGTTTGATCTGCAGATAAAATTATTTTCTTTCTTTCTTCCTTTCTTAAAAAAAAAAATATTTGTCCTATTTCTTCTGTAATTTTTTTCCCCTGGAGGGGGGGGGGGAGCCTTAAATTGTCCAATTTTTAGATATGTTTGGAGGGTTCTTCATCAGAAATTGAAAGTTAAATGTGTGGATATTCTCCCTTCTTAGTCTTCACTTTTACATTCTGTCATCAAAATTTTCTAAGGTCAATGTCAAAAAAGATGGTAAGGATTTGCAAAATTTTCTTCTTTGGTTTGGAGCACATCTAAAATTTCTTTTTAAAATCATGCTACCTTCCAAAAAAAAAAAATTGCTTTTAGTAATTTACCCGAAAAGGATTTGTCACAAGTGTTGACGAGTACTGGGCCTTTGTACCTTGAAGTGATTATTTGTGCTGATCAGTCTTACTGAAGTTTTGGTTTTGTACTGAACAGTTAAATTATATTTTGCCATGACTGTTGAAGGGCTTTATATTTGTCTTTCCTAATGAAAACTCACAAGTGTTTTATCTGATTCCCAGAGGCATTGATGTGGTCCGGAACAAAATCAAGATGTTTGCCCAACAGAAGGTCACATTGCCTAAAGGAAGACACAAGATCATCATCCTGGACGAAGCTGACAGGTGAGTTACACTGAAACAGCACTTCTTATTTGATACTCACATTGGTGTATAAAGTTTAATTTTTGTGATAAAAATGACAAAAATTTTAGCGAAAATAGAAAGTTGAGCTTGTGTGAAAGGATATTTGTTACTAATACTAAATGGGAAAATGTATATTCAAAAGGGCATTCAAGTAAAATAAGTCTGAAATTTACTGCTGTTTTGCATAACTTTTTATTTTTACTATTACTTTGCCTGACAACAATGATTCTTGGGATAGACAGTTATTGTCAAGGCCAAGAGCATTCTCAACTAATACAAGCATCTCCCCTGAATAGAGGATTTTTAATGCCAATGAAGAAGAACAATGGTACAAACAGTAAAATGAGAAATTTTGATATTTCCTCAGTTAAATGTAGTACTGTAAAACACAAAAGTAGTAGCTCTGCTTCTGTTTCTGGTTTTGGGGTTTTTTTTGGGAGGGGGTCTCATAGACAGAGTAATCTCTTCAGAATAGGAGCTTCTTGGTTGCTTTGTTATAAATTTCAGTAGACATTCATTTAGACTTTTGACTTTTGTGGATGAACTTTTTATACTATAACAATGTGAATTTCTACCTGAACTATTAACTTGCTATCTGAAGATATTAAAAATATGAAGACTGGGGTTGAACCAGTGATGATAACCTCCCCTGGATCTGTGGAAATCGACAGTTTCTTCTTTTTTCTAAGTTTCTTCCCGTGTCCGCCATTGGCACCACTACTTCTTTCCAAATCTTTAAGTTTGATGGCATACTTTTTTCAGCTTCTGCAACACGAAATAGACATGTGTATTTATCAGTTCATCACTTTCTCCCTTTCTTACTCATTATATTCTCTCCTTCTCTCACTGCCAACACGGAAAATGGAAGTGGTAGTCTATGGAATAACATGTGGAAAGGGGGAAATATATATTTAGGGCAGCGTGGTGAAATCAGGTGCTCCTCAAAATAACGAAATTGGAGAAACAAGCATGTTTCCGCCAGTTTGGACATTTTTATTTTTTGGCTTAACCTTTGTTATGTCCATATAAAAATATTTCCATGTGAATCCTACTGAAAAACATTGATTAAAGGCATGAACATAAAATATGTCATTTTTCAGTCTTCCAACACTTTGTAGCTATTGGAGCTACCAAACTTTATCGGCCATTTTCTCGCTAATTTCTCCACTGAAACCAGGCAACCTCGCTTCTTTCAATCACAGATATCTTGAGTTCTATTCAAATAAATCAGCTTTTAGACGATACCAATAACTCCACATGCCCAAAAATTGACGAGCGCCTGATTCCACCACGTCGTGACACATGTATCTATCTCTTCTTTCTGTGTTTTTTGTTTTGTTTAATGTAGATGTTTTTATGACCCGATCTACGCAGTTTTGATCATAAAGTAGGCAAGCTTTTAACCCTGCCTGTCAGGGTCAACTTAGGCTGAGATGGATACAACAACCCAACAGAAAGACTGAGATACTCTCCCCACTCTGGAATCAAATTGGGGTATCCTGGGAGCAACCTAACTACTACACCACAAATTTTCAGTTATGGAATGTACATGAACTGAATTTTAATGAGAGTGAATGCCTTATAAGGGCAAAAATGACCTACGCCTATCTTGCTGTAGGTAAAATGAATTTCCTGTTCCTCTCTTGACATATTTTTAGATTGATTGAGTGCCTGCGATATTCTGGAATAATGTCTGTACATGAATTTCTACTTTTCTAAATACTCCCAGCATGACAGATGGGGCTCAGCAGGCCTTGAGGAGGACAATGGAGATTTTCTCAAAAACAACTCGCTTTGCATTGGCGTGCAATTCTTCAGAAAAGATTATTGGTGAGTGTATGTCATTGTCTTTGCTGTGGAAATGAATTGCAGAGACATAAGAACATAGTCTCCTTACATGGCACAAGTATTAGTTTGGTCAGTAATTTTCAAAGAATTTGTTGTCTTGTCATATATCATATGCTCTAGCTAGTTGTTTTAAAAAAAATATGTACACTGCCTTTTTCAAGGAAACTGACTTGTGATCCAATTAAGTATCTGTTGTTTCTGGGTGTATTTTATGTGCAGAGAATATGATTTGTGAAACAGCTCCCTTTTTTCCAAAAAAAAGAATTATTTGAATTTGTTTGGGTTTTTATTTTTTAAAATTCTAAAATGTTTTCCTTGTGATGTAAATATTTCAGAATCTTTGCTTTTATTCCTCTGTGTAAATATAGGAGGGTGGCTTCTTGGTGTACAGATTAGCCTCGTCGTAAATGGGTTTTCTTGCTTCCTCAGAGCCCATACAGTCGCGCTGCGCCGTGCTCCGGTACTCAAAGCTGAGTGACGCCCAGCTGTTGGCTCGACTTCTGGATGTGGTCAAGGCGGAAGACGTCAGCTACACTGACGACGGCCTGGAGGCCATTATTTTCACAGCTCAGGGAGACATGAGACAGGTCAGTAGCATAAGGAACAGTAGACTGGTCTTCGTTATATCTAATTGTCTGTTTCAATTTTATTGCTATGTATAAACTTTGAAAATGTGCACCAAGGTAACCGTATTAGCAGTGCTTCCAATCTTCCGTCTTTTTACTTACAGAAATCCATACTTTCTGACGGTTCCGTACTTGCTCCCCAATCATTATCAACTTCATCTGTTAAAAAAATGCGTAAGGCTACCAAAATTCTGTTGCAAAGGATAGGTACTCGCCTTTGTATCATCTTGTGTAAGTAACAGATATTTAGGGTAGCTGTCTCGGCAAAAAGTTCATGTTAGAGAAATCTGCCAGATTGCCCATTTCCTGCAATCGGCCATTGTCCTGCTATGCAATACATTTTTACCTGCAAATTGATCAAAATCTGGCTAGCCGTGATACCGAACTTTTTGTGCCAATTTCCTCCCTTCTTTCATTCTCTCATTCTTTCTGCCTATCTTTGGATTGCTGCCGCGGCTGGAAAATCTGTGATTTGATCAAATAGATTGACTTCTGATTTTAGACAGAAAATCACTGTCATAAGAAAACTTTTAAAACAAATTTGTCTAGATCTGGATAGATTGTCAGTACGATGAGTCTGCAGGAGTGTGATAGTGATATGGGCAGCGATGAAAATAATTTATACTAAAACTACTAAATCAAGAATGATTTGAAGTGGTGTTCCCTGGTTGCAACATTCAGCATTCAAACTTGAAGATGGAGGAAAATTAGGGTATACACGCCAGGTAACTCGGATACTCTGTCATCATGGTACAAGTCTTTTCATTATTCCCAGGTTTGTCTTCTGTCAATGGTGCGATGAAAAATTAGATGAATTATGAATTATATATTGACTTAGCAATGGCAAGGGGAACCTGTTTTTAAACATTGTCAGCTATGGAAAGATTTAAAGGTAGAGAAATCAATCAAGACAAAATCTTGGTGAAAAAATAAGTGCTATGGGTTTATGGCAATCTCTTCATACAGGCTCCCAAACACCGTTTTTCAACTCTGTAAAAGCATTAAATTTCAATTTCTTCGGGGCTTCGCCCCCAAATCCCCGCCAGGATGCTTCATCCCCAGGCCCCCGGCAGAATTTTCCTTACTTTTCCTTTTCAGCTGTTGGGAGCACCGCAACAGGCAAAGTTGAGAGCTTAACGCATTGTTTGTGGCAACTAACTCATTGATGGGTTCCTCAGTTATGTTGGATTTGGTGGGTTTGGGTTTTTTGGGGGGTTAAATTAAGCTGCATGCCTCAGATAGCATCATAAATATGCTCTTGTTGTTTTAACTCACTGGAGACGTTTCACGCAGCATTTGCGAGCACCATTATTTTCCAGAGAGGCGGTTCATGCACCCCCTGGGAGCGTTTCATGTTTTTTTTCTCGGTGAAGTATGCTCGCAATCACTGTGTGAACCGTCTCTTACCTTGCAACAGACCTTTGTTTCGTTTCATGTGAAGTTTCATCGGAATTGTCTGGATACTTTTTGAGTTATTGAGCCAGAAGGAAAGTTAGTCACGCGAGGCCCTATTTTCATTTTTCTGACTGGTGTCTGTTCTCGCAACTCTTTGTCAGTACAATGGCAGCACATTTAGTTTTAGTATGAGTTTTAAGGCCCTTGCAACAAAATAAGGTCATAAAAGTGCCGAAGATTAGGTGTTCCTGGAGAGTAACAAACACAAAAAAGAAGGAGGAGAGATCAGGACGAGAGATGTTTGATAGGAAAGAAGGAGCAAACCACACCAGAGCACCCGCCAACCACCCACTTGGCAGCACGAAAAGCAAACATTTTTCAAGTGCCTGACAATTTTGACTGTTCAGAAAATTCTGATTATGATATTTTAGATCATGGGGATCTTGCTTTCAATGTAAAAGCACTGATTCTGATAGAGAATGTTCTAGATCTAGACTAGGCTTTCAAATGCAAAATTCCGCTTTGTCTGGAACCCTGTGTTTTTTTTTCGCTCTGAAGTGGATTACACAGCTAGTACACAAGGATTACCATATCGATTACCTGCCTATTCATGAGTTTGCCTTTTTCATTCATTTTGAAACACAAAACACAACAAAAGACGCACACACAAGGTTGATTTTTTGTGTTTTTTGAATTTTTTTTTACACAAGACAATACGTCGCCAAAAAATTTTGGTGAGCAGCAAATTGAGCACATTTTCAAAAAATCATTTCTAAAAAGCTATAAAAGATATTGCCTTTCTGTTTTTTGTGTCTTCTTTGGCATGTTTAGATCTGTTATGTGTGTAAAAATGATGGTTGTATGTCTTTGGGAGTGTAACCTGCATGGAGCACGAGGCAGGGGTGGGTAGGCCACGGGAAACATGGAGATGCGTTGAAAGGTACACGAGAGACGAAGCTCGCTTGGAACAAGCTTGGAAGGATTGCCCTGGACAGAGATAAATAGAAGGAGCTTGTATGTGACCTATACCCTGCCTGGGGTGAAAGTCATTGATGATGATGTCTTTGGGAAGGGTTTTGTTTGAAATATTGAAATACCCCCAAAAATGCAAGTCTTCAGTGCATGTAGACCCGAAAAAGGCCCAGTCTCCAGCAAGTTAAATAAAACAAAATTCCACTTTTTTTAATCCCATGAGGAAATTTGATTTACAATAACAACAGCATATACACTAACAAAACTAAAATAATAAATTAACATTACTTAACTCTTTGAGCCCTAGTCACTGGTACATCATTTAGCCAGACCCTACCCCTAATCTGGCCCGTCTGGGACAAAATGGGCACGTAAAACATTTTTTCCTTCACAGGATGTTATTGGTAATTTTTAAGATCTTTCTGAATTAGATGGTGGTAATTGTCACGGTAGTCAGTTTCATGCCTTACGCTTTTTTAATAACGGGACGGAAGCGCCCCGTATGCCGTATGCCATGGGCTTTTGGTTAGTGTTACTCACTTTCGGGGATCAACATAAAAAGTCAGACACTACACCGGGCTCATTTGGATTGCTTGGTGTCGTGTGTGTTCGTCTCTCCCGTTTACAGTCGTGTGTGTGTGTATACTAACTTTACAGTAAGGGCGAGGATTAGCGTAAGTGGGATATGAAGTGTGATTCTGACGATGAAGTGAATGAACGTTGAAATCACTCAGGAGCTCAGACAGAGGCGCACGATAGCCTCTGGAGGTCAGGGCCCAAACAGTTAATATGTAGTGGCACTCCAATACTGACAATCAATGCTCCTTTCTGGTCATCTGTACAGTGTCCTGTTTTTTGTTGGTTTGTGGTTGTTGGGGGGGGGGGGGGGGTAGCTAGGGTTATTGTAATTGTGTGTTCTCACAGATGTATATATACCAGTGGCCACCCACTTGGATGCTGTGTGACGGACATAACCTTGGTGTTATTGTGAGGCTGACCTCACCTGCCATTCAGCCAGTTACCCCCCGGGGCGGTGCCACTGACTGAAGTGTCTTTAGGCCATTCCCAAAGGGGGGACATTTCTCGTTGACGCACAGCAGAATTGTAAATGGGCTGACTCATGTCAGGCTCATAACTGTGCCTGATCTACAACAGGGAACTGCTGCTTTTTCTTTCCTGATCCTTACTATTGTCATTTTCCTCTACTTCTTTTGTATGTTTGTCACTCTCTTGTGACATGCTATTTTGGGATGCCTTGATAGTCGAAGGAGACCATGTGCTGTTGAAGCTAGAGAGGTGAGCAGTCTAAGTCTGATTCCCTCAACAGACTTCTCTGTTGACACCCACCCCTTTGCGCTCATATGACCTTATGCAGTTGCAAGCGCCGTAAAACCCTCTACTATAAAAAAAATATAAATTCCGCCAGTGGAGCCCTTGAGCTCTGTGTTGTTAGGGGTGATCAAACTGTATAAACAGTTTAAGTAAAAACATATATTTACAGATGGGAGCGGATTTTTAAACCTATGTTTTGGGTTTGTTTGTTGGTTTTTTTTTCTATTACCAGGGATAAACGGCCTAGCATGCTTGATATATCTGTCACATTGCTGACCGTATGCCCTAAATTTCTGATAAGGTTACACTGCTCTTTTGTTTTGTACCCAGGCTTTAAACAATCTCCAGTCAACGTTCCAAGGATTTGGTCATGTGAACAGTGAAAATGTCTTTAAGGTAAGATTTCTTCATTTGTACTTTGGGAATTTTCAGTGCTTCCACTCTTCCGTATTTTTACGGAAATCCGTACTTTCTGCCAGTTCCGTACTTGTTCCTCCATCATTATCAACTCCCTCCGTAAAAAAAACTGCGACAGTGCAGGACTGCCGAAATTCCGCACTCGCCCTCGTATCGTCTTGTATAAGTTACGGATATTTACGGTAATTCTCCAAGTTGACGTTATAGAAACCTGCCAAATTGCGCATTTCCTGCAATCAGACATTATACCGCTATGTCCCAGTCCCATGCATTCATTGCGTGTTGGTCGGCAGTACATTTTTTACCTGCAGATGGATCAAAATCTGGCGAACCTTTTGCGCCAACTTCCTCCTTTCTGTCATTCACTCATTCCTTCTGTCTATCTTCGGATTGTTGCCGCGGCTGGAAAATCTGTGCGTTGATCAAGACTGATTTTGATCTTAGAGAGAAAATTACTGTCGGAAAGAAACTTTTTTCGCAAATTTTATCTAGGTCTAGAGAAATTATCAATGCGAAGATTCTACGGCACGTGAACGCAATATAAGGGCCACGATGAAAGAAATATATGCTGATACACGGGCGTGCCCACTATGGATGGGATCGGCCGATTGCGCTGATCGCCCGACTCGGTCGAACAACCGTGTTTGCTTTGAAACTGAAAACAAACACGTTTGTTTTTGAGGCGATCGGGCGATCCCGTCCATAGTGAGCACCCCGTATAAAATCAAGAATAATTCGAAGTGGTGTTCCGAGGTTGTGACAGGCGACTTTCAGACATGAAAATTTAGAAAAAATGTGGGTATACGCTGCCCAACCGTATTTTGAAGGTACATCTATTCATTATTCCCAGGTTTGCCTGCTGTCAATGGTGCGACTACAAATTAATTGAATTATAGTAGCAATGAAAGGGGAACCTGCTTTTAAACATTTCCAGCATTGGAAAGATATGCTGGTGATGAAGTCAAACAAGACAAAATGTTGGTGAAAAAATAAATATTATGGGTTATAGGCAATATCTTCAAACAGGCTCCCAAATACCATTTTTCTACCCTCTAAAAGCACTAAATTTCAATTTCTTCGGGGGCTTCGCCCCCTGAACCCCCACCGGGATGCTGTCCCTGGACCCTGCTGGGGGCCTCTGCGGCCCCAAGACCCCCTTCAGAATTTTCCTTACTTTTCAGCTTCAGCTGGTGGAAGCACTGAATTTGGGGGGATTGACTGAAAAGTTTTTTCTGTAACTTATAAACCCTCTAAGTTTATTAGCTGGTATATGTTTTGCTTATGTTATATGTCTTTTTGTTGAATGTGTGATACTAATTCACATTTGGCCATGGACTTATCTTTGTAATGTTGTAACAGGATGAAGCCAAGTCAGTAATCTGAAGAAATAGTGTGCACATGTCGCTGTATCGTGTTGAATTTTGCCTGATTTATTCTTAGCTTTTGACAAGGTTTTTTTCCCCCTGTACCTCTAATTTGAATTTCATTGATGCTCACTGAAAACAGCTTCCTTCGTTTCAATTGGATATAAAGGCAAACAGTTTGTCATTAAATGTTGTCAACCCAGATGAGATTGTTCGCTGAGTGGGCATGCTATTTTCTGGAAATTGGCGTAATTTATGAAGAGATAATTGAACTGTGCGTTTTAATTTTCTTTTTTCTTTTACAAAAAAGTTTTTTAGACTTGTAAATTTGTCTAAAAACAAGAAAATGCTAAGATGTGTATTGCCAGAAATAATCTTTCTGCTTAGCTTGCTGCTATGTTTGCGCTGTGTCCACACATGCATCATAGGTTGTTGTCATTTATAGGTGTTGTGATATGGGAAGTCAACTGGGAGGAATGAGGGTGCTGCTGATTTGGACAGCCTTTTTCTTGTCAATCTGTTGCTTTTATTTGTCCTCTGGTTTTGTCACAGCATGAAGTGCTGAACAGCCTTTACTGTGTTATCGGTCTTGTCTTTGTCTCATTCCCACCCATATACTCTCACTCGCACACACACACACACACATACATACACACACACACACATACATACATACACACACACACACACACACACAGCAGGAAAGTGCTTCTGACTGAAGTTGTCTTTAGGCCATTCCCAAAGGGGTGATATGAACATGTTCTTATGCACAGTAGACTTTGTAAATGGGCTGATTTATCAATGTCATGCTTGTACTGTGAGGAACATCATAGGGGGAACTGCTGCTTTTTCTTTCCTCATCCTTACTATCATCATTTTTCCTCTACTGCTTTTGTATGTTTGTCATGCTCTTGTGAACTGCTATTTCCAGGGTGCCTTGATAGGCGAAGCAGACTTTGTGCTGTTGAGGCTAGAGAGGTGAGCAGAGTAAGCCTGATTTCCCGTTTGGACTACTCTGTTGACATCCACCCCTTGGCGTCCATATGACCTCATGCAGTTGAGAGCGCCGTAAAACCTTATTAAAACTAAACACACACACATGCCCTCGTCCAAGCGTTCATCACTGTTGTGTATAAGGGGCCCTACACCTGTACGTTCGAACCGGGCGGTTTGAACCTGAGTGGAAACTGGCGTTCGAACCGCCGTGCAAAACCTACATTCAACAGGTCGGCGCATCATCCACATCACTCGTGGTTTAACCACAGCAAGTGTACTGGCAATGACAATTTGCTAGCAATTTATGTGCTGCTTAAGAGGAAGAATTTTGTTTTCTCTTTAATTATTGAAAAATTCTGTTCGTACTTTGCCTTAAAAATGGTTCGCTCGTTTTAAAAATGTAATCCGGTTTTATGTGCAGTAAATGATCATTTAGAAGATATTGCCATGACAAGATGCCGGCTAAGTCCGTGACGTCACACAAAGGCTGTTGTCAACGAAACGCGCAGAACTGTATTCAGAAAATCCACACGTTAAAACCGCTGGTTCAGCCTCCCGGTAAAATTTTTTTTCTAGCAGTTTTTCATCCACATATGCGGTTCTACCGCCAGGTTTGCCTTTCCATTCTGAACCAGCAGTACATGTGTAGGGTTCTAAGTTTGGGCAATTCTGTAGCAACTCACAACAGTCCACCATTTATATTGTCTTTGGTCAGGTGTGTGACGAACCTCATCCAGTGTTGATCAAAGACATGTTGGGTCACTGCGTGTTGGGTCATATCGACGATGCCTACAAGGTCATGGCTCACCTATGGCGTCTGGGCTACTCGGCAGAAGACATCATCACCATCGTTTTTCGTGTCTGTAAAAACCACAACATGCCCGAGTATCTCAAGCTGGAGTTCATCAAGGTTGGTTATTAGGTTCTCCATGGCCTGTTGTTGATCCCGTTATTTTTGCACTTTTCACTCTGTTAGGTTCAGTTAAGGTTGACTTCTTTCAGGATGATTTTGCAGTAACTTTTTTTTATGTGAAAAGTAGCGGGCATTTTGTTCCCTGTGTGAACAGTTCGTCAATCCACAGGATTGCCCATTTTAATGGGCAGCTGAAGGTTTCCCTTGTTTTGCTCTTTTCTCTCACTTCTTCCTCCATCTATGGCTGACCCCTCCATCCTTCTTGTATGATCAAGTCTACTCATCTGCCCCACTTCTTAACAGAAATCTATCAGAAATGTATACATGTATTCTTGTGGAGAACAAACCATATAACCTTTCAAATTTAGCTTATTACTACTCAAAAGTGTGTCAAAGATGGGTGTTTCTCTTTTTTTCTGTATGATAAAATGTAGGTAGCGTAAATACGGCCTCACAGCCTTTTCGAGCGCTATAGTTTCGGTGAAATTGGGTTAATTTAGATCGCTGTTTCTTTGCTCTTTCGCTATAAAACACCAAATGCTGTACACCCTGTAAAGTTCAGCTTTTCCTCGTTACAATGGTGTAAGTTGTTTATATATGTAAATCCGAATTTTTGGAGCTGGATAATTGCTGTGGAAAGCAAAGCCCGTCGCCGTGGGAACATGTGGTCGGCCGGTTTAAAAATTGACACACACGCATTCAAATGCTTCATGGACAGATAGCTGATAAAATACCGTCTTTTCATTGGAGAACTGTAGAGCTTCAAACGAGCTTTTGTGTGGTATATTTTTGGCCTTTGGCGTTCAAATAGAAAGCCTTTAATAAAAAAAATAACGTCAAAGTTTTCTAAGATAATTTTTTACACAAAATGTAAAATACCGGCTCAAAAAAAGGTACCAATAGAAAGATGGGTTAATTTTCTTTTAGAACAAAGTAATCGGCTTGGAATTATTTTGCATCGATCCTTCCCCGAAACTCGAAAAGCTTGTGACCTCCGGTGCGTGGAGCACTCAGTACACTGCAGTATGCTGCCGTCTCGCTCAGCACCGGCCGGGACAGCGCTCTGTGTTTTTGTCAAAATGACGACATCATCGTGTTTGAGGCAGTAAAATACTGATTTGTAATGATCTACTGGCTTGAAAAAAATTAGGCTCAATGTCTATGTCATGTTATGGTGATTGTACTCTGTTAATGTGGAGATGTTTGGTGCACTTGATACTCTTTTATTATCTGTCGAACATGGGGTTGCAGCCAGTTAGCGACTAGCAGTATTTTTATCATATTTAAAACAGCTACCTTTATCATATTTAAAACAGCTACCTTTTTTTTTAAAAATTGACTGAGAGGTTAAAGAATGGTACCCAAATTCTCAGGAGATATAGGCTTTTCATATATATATACACGGAATGGATAAATTTGGCATACAACTACTTAGAAAATTTACTTTCTGGTAGGTATATAATGCATTGTAATCTTGCGTTTTCTTGGTCCTGTAACCATAATTGCCTTGGTATGATATGGTTCTTATTAGATTGATTGCCCCTTGCCTTTTTAATGTTTCATTTTGTATATGACCATTTTCTCATGGTCTTATTTTCAGGAGATTGGCTACACGCACATGAGGCTGGCGGAGGGGGTGCAGTCATTGCTACAGATGTCTGGGCTGTTGGCACGACTATGCCGGAAGTCAGCTGAACCCAATACATTGATGAAATAGGCTGGTGTGTTTGTGTGCATGGTGTCTGTGTGTGGTTGCTGATGCTGTCTGAAGTGAATGGCTGGACGAAGCTGATGAAAATGTGCTTTGAGTTTGATGATATGTGTATGTTTTGCCTGCATTTGTTAGTCTTGGGATGTGTGTTACCAAATAGGTGGTTAGGTTTAAATGTGTGTTTACATGTATGTGTAGGTGTATGTGTGTATGGTGGATATTTGCACAATGAATTCTCAGATTATTTTGTTTTGAATTATGTAATATCTGTTGAAAGTAGTGGAATGTAGAGAAGACAGATCCTTGACCCTTGTTTCAGCCCTGAGTTCTGATTTATTGTTTTGTCAGCATCAGTGCATCTGTAATGAGAAATAAAATTCAAACAAACTAATTTATTTTGTGATCTTGCTGCTTTTGAATATGGTTCCTTGGTTCCATAACAATTTATTTGAAATGTTATGTCAAGTTTTTGTGTTGAAATTTTAAACAGTAGATTGATTTGTCTTGCAGCTAGTATAAATTTTGTTAACATCTCTGAAAATCTGAAATAATTGTGAAAAGTAGGGAGGCTTAGTAGCTTAAAAGTTATGGTATTCACCTGTCAACTCTGAGGTACTGAGTTCGATCCCTGCCAGCTTTTTAAAAACGCTGATCTTTTAGAGGTAGATAAATGGACTGACTAACCCTGCTTGCAACAATGAGTTAAAAGTAGGTGAAGGTGACCTTGACAGTGAGCACTATTGACCTAATAATAAAATTTACTCACGTTTTTCATGGCTGCTGAGAAGTATCAATTGTCACATTAATGTGGTAGGCCTCAAAACAGTCTTTAGAGTCCCTTGTTGCAACAGGGAAGTAGGCTATTGTTTGCACTGGTTTGCCTGACTTAGTGCGATTTTCTTGCTTCTAACATTGAGTGCCGTCTGATGAGGCTAAACCCTTATCAAGACGTTGGTGTCTCCTTTGCCCAGCATTTAATTTGGTTTGGATAGCTAATGTCACAAAAAAAAATTCTGCAGAAAATATTCAATTTCTGAGTCTAGATCTAATATTGTAGAGGGACCATAGACCTCTGTGAATGGCAAAACATTTCCCCTAGAGCCTGTACAGTCATAACTCCAGCTATCAGTGGGCGTGGCACATGCATCACCATCAGCTGTGACTGCGTGAGTTCCCAGAACTAGATGTAGGCCTAGCGCGAGTGCTCTTTTCATTATCATTATCTGAATCAACTTCCCATCAACTGTTCCCGATCAAAATCATCCTCAATTGAGACATCTGACTGATTGTCTTCAACACCACTGTCAGGAATGTTTCAACACCACTGTCAGGAATGTGAAACAACTCAAATAGATTTCACCTTGAAGGACCAGGTAACTCATCTTCAGATAAATGACTCATCTCTCTTCTTCAAAGCCACCAGCTCTCTCAATTCAGTTATCAAAACTTTCTACTGTGCAAGCAAACTTTAACAGTTGTTTCCTTTGGCACAGGCAGCAGAAAGTCGTGATAACTGGAGTCAATTGAGGGCAGCGGTTTGGTTTTCAGCGGTACAGGCTAAGATTCTAGGGCGGCAGCAGTATAGGACGCTAAATGTCAAAAATTATAAAATCCTTCCACGCTATTAAGAAATGGTTAAACATGTGTTTTATCTAAAGGAACTAAATTTTTGGACCAGCTGGGCCTTCGACTTTTTTGGCCTTTTCACCTTGTTGCTCAAACTCAAAAATAGCTTTGCTGACAACTGGGTCCTTTCTTCAGGCACACACGCATTTGGCAGGGCAAAATAGCACTTTCACTGTAACAGAAAAAGCAACATACAACAAGAACCTCACACTTGTGAAAGTACTGTTGGGCACAGACAGATCACATCAACAAAGAAAAATCAAAATCACGGATAGCTCATACAATTAGCCATTCCCCAACAGTATATTTCTTGTTTTCATTATTGTTTTCTTTCTTTTTTTTTGGTTAACCCAAATTATGGATGTGTCAGCGCATTTAGCATTCCCTGAAATGTTTGAGTTATCCGTGCCTGACTGTACAGAGGTTGAGCATGTGGGAAGGGTGCTGTGGACTTGTCCACTATGAAATAAGATGCAATTTTTATTAAACAAGACACGCTTCTGTTCACAAATTTATTCATAAAGGCCACTCACATTGAAGTTGGAATGGAGTGAAGTTTACCTTCAGATTCATAAGAGCTCCACGCAAAATGATAGGCATGGCACACATGAAATACTACCCTCAAAATAACATATTAGTGAGCTCATTCACATTCTCTCCTTTTACACTTGCTTCTCATATACATATATATTGTCATGAAAATTATACATAGATAATATAGAGCAGAACCCCATCACAACACATCCACATTAATATATATATTGGTTAGCACTCTGGGTTTTTCAGTACGTGAGTTTGAAGAAAACTACTAAATCTTAAATTGAACTTCAGATTTTTTTAGTTTCAATTTCCACTTATTGGAAGCAATTTTAAATTCTAAGACCATTGACTTGAAAGTAAATATTTTAGATAACTGAGAAAAAAGAATTGAAATTGAAATATCGGTATGTCAGCAGAATGAACTAATTTTTTTTCACTGTACATACTGACTTTTAACACCTGACATATTATAAACATGTTTTTTGCCATAGCAAAATATTATGAAATTAAAAAATCTGGTGCGAAGGGGATCCACTGTATCAATCACCATGAAGGAAGTTATTGTGAAGAGGGGTAAGCTCACCACTGTACGGTATCACTATATTCGGTTTGTGAAATGGCAGGGAAATGACTACATGCATGTATGTATGTACAACGTATTCCTTCAGGCCTGATGACAACATGTGAACACAAGCAATCAACAAGTCATTACGACAATGGTTTTGATCCTTAAGCTGATGGTTTTGTTCTCCTACTACAGCATCCTCCAGAATGTTCTGAGCTAGTTTTAAAAACATAAGCAGTCGCTGTTGCAAGAACAATTAGTAACTCCTTCTGACTTTGCTTTACACTTTCATTTATAGAGTAAGTAACAATGGTGATAGTAATTGTCTTGCGACAGCAAAGATATGTCACATCCTTTGGAATATTGTGAGCCTGTGAACATCGGTACATGATATCAGTTTATCAAATCCTTTGATATGTTGTGAGTCTGAGAACATCAGTACATTATATCACATCGTTTGAGATATTATGAGACTGAACAATCAGAACATGAATACATCTCATTCTTTGAAATGTTGCAAGTTTATGAACATCAGTGCTTTGAGTACATAATATATATCACATCCTTTGAGATGCTGTAAACATCAGGACCGTACAATTATCACAATTCCCATCAAAGCAAAAGACATTTATTATTCTAAAAGCGTTGAACAACTTCACTAAAACGGTTTTCTTTGTTTTTATTGTGTCAATTCACCCGAGAAAAGCTTGAAATTGAAGTTCAATTGTCAACAGGTAAGACATTACGGTCCACTTTTAAAATAAGTAGTTTTGCTCAGGCCAGAGCATAGCACAGGCCTCTTCCTCTTTATCACTGTGGCACTTGTACACACATCCTCCAGTCCTAAGTTTCACATCCAAATATTTATTATGATTATATTTATAAAGCTTTTTTCCTTCATCACCAATGCTATAAGAAAATAAGGGGGGTAGGGTGTGGGGACCTATTATGCTTACAGCCTCCTCCTACATCAACAACTGACAATATGCCCTCGTTGTGTGCAGGACATGGCAAGAGTTAAACTTCCTGGGACTTTGTGACCTCTGTCAACAGTCAAAGCCTTGGGTAAAGTGGCACGGCAGTTCTTCCATCAGTTGCACGAGACTGACTTTGAAATATTCACACACAGTGGACTCCATTAAAGAAATACACCAGTTCTGTCGCTTAAAAAATCCATTGAAATAGAAATGCAATCTGACAAACCTTTTAGAAAATGTACACAATTCTGTAGCTCTGGCGTAAATGATCAAGCAGTCAACAGACTTTCTCCTTTCAGCTCACCAATTTTGCTTTTCACCAGATTCTGCTGTGCCTTGACTATATTCTTATTTTTACAACACTCTTTGTGAAGATGACTTAGTCTTACTGATGAAATAATTCTCATTCAAAATGTTTAGATGACAGAAATGTGATGTACCGGAAAACAAACTGATAACAAACTTAATTTATAAGACCAATGAAAATGGACTTAGAAGAAGGGACTAAAATAAGTAACTGAGATCAGGTCAAGGGGGCATTCCGCCCGGTCGTAGTTTAGCCCGCTGGAGGACTTGTGTCCTTTTCCGTCGTTCCACTGCCTTGTTCCCAACTGTCTGCCGAAGGGCTGGCAAACTTACATTCTCCCTGATATAGGCAATCTCAGGCCTGTGAGAAAAGAAGGAAAGCCGAATTAAAAGTCTCAAAAGTAACAGGGTCTTTTTTTAACTGATCTTGCTAAACAGGGCGCTGAAGGTGAGGGGTGTGAGTATTCCACAGAGTCACTGCAGTTAAGCTGAAAACTCAAGCTGTCTTTTTTTATCAACAAAATGAGGTTACAATGTCGGATTTTACTTGATAGAAATTTTTACTTTCTCTGGTTTATTTTTCCTTTTGTTTAATGGTTATAATATACACATGTGTGCTCCTTCTGTAAAAGGCTGAAAATTTTACAACTACTCCCATGATCAGCAACTGCTTTTTGTTGTACAATATATCATCCCCAAGGGAGTACATGTAGATTTTAGCCAGCAACTGAGTAACGCACACATTAAGATTATTATTGTAGTACATGCTGTCATCATGCTCCTCACAGGCCTGCTCTGTTGCCTGCCAAATACCAATATTCTGTTGGGAGAACAGAGAGGAAATGAAGTACTTTTGGTAAGGTACCGGTAACACAAACTTGTTTAACACTTGCAGTACCACAGGCTCATAAAATGAAAAACTGAAAAACCCTCAAGTACCGCACCAGTTTAGAACGCTGTGGCTGTGGTAGAATTTTTTTTTAATTAAAAAAACCTTGGCAGCCTAAGAAACACTTTAAAAATTCATAGAGGTACATCAGCTATCATATAGAGAGACTTCCTTTGGTATTTACTTCAGTGCAGTACGGCCCTTCATTGTTTGATTATGTTTAGGGTGCCTGGTGTTGCATCGGCGATTAAAGCCACCAGCGGTAGTCAGTGCATACTACGGCCTGGCCGGGCGACTAGTCGCCAATGGTACAGTAAGGGTTATACAGCTGGAAATCTAGTTTATGACCTGATGCTCAAGCATGAGATGCCTTTGCCTTTGGATAAAGACACCCCTTCAAGAACTAATCATAGGCAAACAACTCTTTAGATTCGGATTGAATTTTAAGTAAGTCAACATGACACAGAAACGTCTCTTAGTAACCTTGTAATATGTGTTACAGAAAGAGCTGAATCTTCAGATCACTCATTCACTGCTCTCAGAAATTTAAAAAAAAGAAAAAAAAAAGCAGAATGAACTACTGTACTCACAACTTTCTACTGGGATTTTTCAGTGGTATTCGAGGCAGGCTGCCACCCTTCTCATCCTCCTTACGGTCGTCCTCAGCGACATATGCTTTAGCCATGAGGTAAGCATCAGGAGTCCATTTGTGAGAATATAGCACATCTCTCAGGTCCAACTTCAACCTATCAAGCTGTAGGGGGAAAAGATAAAATAATTGTTAAAACAATTCTGACCTTAAATTTACTTACACCAAATATCGATGATATATCAAAGATCGAATAACAGCTACAATCAACACGGTGGACCTAGAAATCCTGAGGTGCTTTTGGGTGAATTTTCATATCAGCTTGATGTCCGTGCTGCCAGTGGTGGCCACATTTAGCACTTGTAGCACATGAAATAAAAACTTGAAGGTATATACAACACACATGTCCAAGGTAAAGTTTTTCTATTGTTTTTCATTTTTGGAAATAGTGCAAGATGATTTTGGTGTATTCTTTGAGAGTCATCCTCATATTAAAAAACTAAAACTCAATCTAACCTCATGGCTCTGTTGGTCGTTGACCTGCTGCAGGTGTTTGATGATGGCGTGACACTGCTGGAGACTGAGTGGTTGACCGTTGGACTGGACAGGAGGGGAGCCGGAGGCGATCTGCTCCGCTGTCTCTGTCAACCCTTCGTCTCCCTGGTCCATCTCATATTTGAGGGCATCAAAAGCACCTTGCCTGTAGAGGATTTGACATTTTTAGTTGAGACTTCATGGCACAAAAATATATCTGAGTACAACTCTCTCTCTCTCTCTCGTTCTCTCTCTCTCGTTCTCTCTCTCTCTGAGATTTTTTGGTGGTTATTATGAAGTATGTGTAGGGTTTTGGCCGAAAAAAGCAATTTGTGCATCTGATAGCCAGTAACAATGTGCATTTATTTAAGCAAAAAATCTCGATTTTTTCCTAAATGTCTCTTAGCGAGTTTTGCATCTCCCCCCCCCCCCCCCATATAATAATATTAATAAAGGGCTCTGTGACAAAATGTTGTGTGTTTCAAAATGTCAGTGACGTAGGGTTTTCTTTCTCAATTCTTTATCTACTCTTTCGTCTGTTCTGTGTGACAGTTCAGCAGATTAAGCAAGCTGACAATTTTAAAGTGAAAGCACAATGCACACAGCCTGCAGCTCAAAATGAGGGGGGGGAGGGGGTGTAAAGGTGTGGGGTTAGCGATGAATCCAAACCCCAGAACTAAACCCTCATCTCTTGCTCTCCTCACCCCAACCAATAATTCATATATATACGACATTCATATCTTGTTATCAGTATCAAAAGAAAATTTCTCTATCTGCAATAGATGACGTAACCTTGTTTTGTCCTCATCAGATACCATTTTGCAAAAATTGATCATTTATAAAGCTTTCATTTTCAGCATTCTTCTCTTACTTAAACTGGTTGAGTAATTGTCCCATCGCCTCAGATGTCCATGCATATCCTTACACACACATGCCAAACACATGCACGCACTCACACGCACACACATACACAATACATAGGTACACACATGTACACACACAACACACACACACATGGCCTCCCCCTCCCTCCAACTTACACACCCACAAATACAAACACACTCACACACAATTCCAGCACATGCACCTTTTCTGTTTGTTTAACAAGATGCAGACAGCAGTCAATACAGCAAACTTACTGTCGCTTCCTCTGTTCCTCTGCCTGCTCCAAGAGCTGTGTCAGATACTGGTTTTTGTTGCGAGTCTCCCGCAGGGCATGCTTCAACTCCTTCACCTCCTCCTCCAGGAAGACGATTTTCATTTCCTCGTTTTTATCTTCTTCTGCGTAAAAGATTTTGCTTTTTTTTTTAATTTGGTAACTTTTTACACCCCTATACATAAAATTTAGATCACCTAAGAAGTTACTCTGCTTTCCAGGGCTACCCCGAGGTGAGACGGATACAGCATCCCATCAGAAAAACAAAACATAAAATAGACTACCCCAAGACAATAATCGAACTCACATCTTTTTCAAACAAGGAGGAAGAACCTCGACATTGCACCACAGACAGGTACAAATATGGCGATCTGTAATGTTTGGTGTGACAGACTCAGACTATGTGCATTACAACTGCATTATGGTCGGACATATTTTGAAAAGTCAAGACCAGGATTCTATTATATATGACACAAGAAAAAGCCAGTCATGGGCACCGTTATACCTACATTATAGTTTTCCCTGGGCGCTGCAAGGCGGCCACGGAAAATGGATCAACGGCAGCGCTGATGCGGAATTTTGATTTTTTTGCAGAATTTTGTTGAGTTTTGACAAATTTTGCAGCATTATTACTATGCTTTGAGACGTAGAATTGCGAGACAAAAAAATTAAAGTGAAGCCAGCTAACGACGTTAGAGTGATCCCCCTCTCACTGGAAGCCGGAAATTAGAGCGTTTTTTTGTTTTGGAAACAGAATTGATCTAGATCTTGATTTTTGTTTGTTTTTGTAAGGATTTACGGCCCTCGCAACTGCATAGGTCATATGAGCGCCAAGGGGTGGATGTCAACAGAGAGGTCTAAACGGGGAATCAGGCTTACTCTGCTCACCTCTCTAGCCTCAACAGTACAAAGTCTACTTCACTATCAAGGAACCCTGGAAATAGCAGTAGCAGTTCACAAGTGAGAGACAAACATACAGAAGAAGTAGAGGAAAAAATTACAGTGAGGGAGAGGGAAAAAACCAGCAGCAGTTCCCCCTATTCTATTATTCAGGTACAGTAATGAGCATGACATTGATAGATCACCCACTTACAATTCTATTGTGCATAAGAACAGGTTAATATCCCATCTTTAGGAATGGCCTAAAAACACTTCAGTTAGTGGCACTGCCCTATCTAGATTCTAAATCTATTGTGCAAACGCTATTGTATAGGAGTACAGGCGATACGGGATTTGTCTTTCAGCAAAAATGGATAAATTTTTTCAAGGAAAGAATGCGTTGAAAACAAATGCCACTGAACTTCTGCTTCAGTTTACCAAAAGCACACATGTGTCTGGCGGAAAACTGTTCTGTTAGTACGTATGTAATGTGGTACTTGACCTCGCCCGTAAATCGACGGTGGATGGGCTTTTCCTTCTGGGGTGTTTCTAATGCTACTTGCGAGCTTTACCTCAGACTTTATAATGTTGCATGGGTGTCAATATTCCGCTATTTAGCGGATTTCCGCTACCGCCATGTCATCCGCTAAACTCCGCTACTGCGAAAGCGGGTCAATCAGAAAGAGAGTTGCTGGGAGCAGAGTGACTGCCAGGCCTCGGGAATTATCCGGGAATTTGAAAAAAAAATCGCTGAGACGCGGGAAAATACATAAAAGATCTCGAATATTATTTAAAAAGCAAATCCCATAACCTCTTTAAGTTCATTTTTGGCGGTCGCGATTGTGATGTTAATTCTGCTTTTCCCGTTGTGAGAGTACGTTTCACGCGAACAGGCGGCTATGGCGGCAAGCAGAATTGTGACACCAAGGCTCGACCGGAAAATCAAGATCTCAGAAATTTGTCTGTAAAAGTCTGAATACGCAAAAACATTTGTAACATGCAGGTTCTGCATTACAAACGGGATGTCGCCTTGAAAATAATGTTCGTCACTGTGCTGTCGCTTGTGGGGGCAAAAAAAAAAAAAAAAAAGAAAAGACAGTTATACAAGCGTCTTACCGAGCTCGTCATTGTGACCGGTCAATGAACCTGCATGCGTTCTGAGCGCTGTGAAGTACAGGACTCCGGAATGGGGGGAGATTATTGATTTTAAAAAAAAGATACACTCGGGGATGGGGGGAGGGCTGGATGCAACACCAGAGTAAAAAAAAAGAAAAGAAATTGGAAGCAAATTTTAATATTTAGAATTTTGATTACTATTACAGCTCTCTGCAAAGTAAAGTGCGCGTTTGTGCATGCCCTGTGTATAATCGGGATCCGTCATAACTACTTGTAAGCCTGTTAATGAACTAAGGGTAGGGGCCTAAGTGTTCGCGTTTCATTGGACGGGTGACAGTTAATTGTGTCTCTATATTTTAGCTTTTTGTTCAAGATTCGCAGATTTTCAGTGTCACTGTATCTTGCCCTCCAACAGTTCTTACACCTCTCACACTGAATAGGTTTACTTGAGCTATTCAAGTTATTACTCTACTTTGAGTTTGAGCATTCATTTTGTCTTTCACGTTTATTATATGAATCTTTACACCCAGATTGGTTCATGACAGTCGATATTCTGGTTCTAGGCCTTTTCCCAGGTTCAAAACAAGATTCATTTTTATATAGTTTATATAGGCGAATATGATGAAGGTAAAATATAAATATATATAAGTCGCACAAGACCACAGTGCGCCTCCACTTTCTGTATGTAATCAAGATTGTAAATATTTGGAAAGTGACTCTTACTTGAAATTATCTTCCAAACCCTCAAACTGGTATGAAATAACCTTGCTTTGATAAATTGATGGTTCTTATTTCAACATTCTAGGGTCCAACAGTATAATAATAGTGGGTGTCTCGCGAAAATGGGTTTCTGTCGCGATCATGCGGAAAGTTCCTCCTTTAAAAAAATTTTGAGTTGAGACCCATGATGTTGGGACAATTGTTATTGCTTGGTTGTAGTAGGGGTGGTCTTTTATCTTCAAATAATTCTCCTACATATTCTGCCCATCTTCCTAGGACTTCTTTTTTTTCAAATTCTCAAATAACATTTTGACTTTTTAGTATTCAATGCTTGCTGACAATCAATGATATAGCTCAAACTGACAGCTTCCCAGATTTTGAATGTACCGGTATACAATGGGGTCTCATTTCTTTGAGTCACACTTTTTGCTAGTATTTTATGTTATGGGCTTGTGTTTCAGAACAAAAATACAGATGGGGGGAGGGGGGGGGGGGTTATTTACTGGGTCTGTAGAGCTTCTTCTCAGCTTATATGATTAATTGGTACTTATATCTTTAAAGCAGCATGGAGAAATTTAGACATGGTCGCAATCCTTGCAGAATTTTTGAAGAACTTTTGCAGAATTTTGTCATTTTGGGTGTAAAATTCTGCGCAGAATTTTGAAATTTCCATGCAGAAAACTACGATGTCAGATTATAGAATATAGATTTATATAGTATAGAGTAAGCGGAGTATTTTAAATGGATTATGAATTAAGACCAACGGGTAAACTGATGGCAGTTTAATCCGTTGGGGCTGATATATCAAGGAAGCACTATCTTTTCCAGGGACCCCAGATCTTGAGACTAAATTTTCTCAAATAACAAGGGCCACATGGGACGGCTTTCATATTTCATAGCCTAAATGCCTATGCTCTGCTGAGAAAGGTCCCAGTTCTAACAATTCACAAAGTCATCAGACAATTTGAAACTTTTCCTTCGAACAAAGTCCAGTATTTACTGAGTCAGTGAAAACAGTAATCAAAACCTATGATTCTCCAAAAGGGAAACACGCAACAGATTTATTCTACGGCACCACTATAAACCCAATTTAAATGCTGCACAAGTTGGATGGATTTGCAAAAAATTATATTTGAAACCATAACATTAATACGGTAACAATAGCATAAAAAAATGTTTTTCTACATTCATGAATGGCAGTGTAAAACCTTTGCTGTTTATAAGAAAAAATATTTAAGGGCTTTCCTCTGTTATTGGTGTGCTAAAAAAACCCAACCCACTGAAGCAAATAAAAAATCCAGACTTGAAACAGACAAACTTCAAGGATACTTAAATAAATGTTGACAAAACAGTGTAAAGATGCACCACTTCCTCACCTCTGCTTCTCTCTGGTGCATCCAATAGTTTGGAGAAAGATGACACTGATGAGTTATCACCTGTAAAAGAGAACAAAATTCATTGGGCTTGAGTACTGAAATTTTCTGTTCAGCACTAAACACATAAGTGTATGCCAGGGACACTGTGTGCTTTACTGGCCGAGAGGGGTTAATTAGCTCAGGCTCACAATAATGTCAAGCCTACATGTCATGATGAGGTGGAATCAGACGCTCATCAATTTTTCGGTAAATAGAGTTATTGGTATCATCTTAAAGCTTGTTCATTGGTCTTGTATTAAATTAATAAAATACTCATCCATGTTGAATAGAAGTTGAGATATTTGTAATTAAAGGAGGTAGGGGTCGCCTGGTGTCAGGGGTAAAATTTGCGAGACAATGGCCGCCAAAATTTGGTGACTTCCAAAGCTTGAGAGTCATTGAAAACAGCAAATTTATATTTTTTGAGCTTTTAACTCTTTGGCTACCAAGGCATTTTCCGCGCTGTGACCAAGGCATTTCTTAGTCTTAGAATTTCAGAAGTACCCCTGTTCTTCTTTTGTGTCTGATGGGCATAATTCCATCTGGAAGTCAGACATGTTATATACCAAAATGAAGGTAATTGAATGTAGAATATTTTTAATCTAATACAAAAATTGAAAAAAATCATAAATCCAAACAAACATGGGAGGTAAGTGAACACAAGGTGAAAACATTTTAAAAAATATTTTCAACTTACATTCCTCACAGTGTATAGCTGCTAAATCCAATCACTTCATGACTTGGTCATACTGAAGTATATCCAATTGTCTCTAACTGGGCCAAGTTTCATGCACAATGGTTAAGTATATACAAAGTTGTCGCACTTTTGGTGAAATAAATCACAATGAAAAAAAGAGAAAAAAACGCTGCACACATGCCCCTCTTTGCGAATCTTCAATCTCATCGCTGTCCCTGCTGTCCGACTTAGGTCTAACTTCATCACCTCCTACATCACTATCGGAAAGTATTGACAGTTCCCCATCAAACTTTTCCAGTGCTTTTGAAGCAGAAAAACGTTGTGACGGGGGGGGGGACCTGATGGGTTATCAGCCATATTGCCGTTGCTATGCGTGTAAACTAATTCGAGCAACATAGGGCGGGTAAAAAAAACATGAAAAAATGCCAAAAAACAGCAGAATAAAACACAAAAGGCACTAAATTCCTTCACTGGTTGACTGATGTATGGCAAGCAGAGCAGTTAAAAACATGAAACGAAAAGGTTGAGTCAAATTGTGGAAGGGAAAGGGAAAGAAAAGCGCGAGCCGATAATTCGGCTCTTGGCCACGAACTAAGAAGTTATGGAGCCGATAGATCGGCCCATGGTAGTCAAAGAGTTAACCAGCGTTTTTCAGTAAAATGCACACAGAAATGTGTTTTTAAACAGACATACAAAGGGTTGAGCCAGTGAACAAAAGATGGATACAAATTTCCAAACAAACGGCAAAATGCCTGTTTCTTTGATTTCATTATTTAAAGAAAAATCCGCTCCTTTCCTTTGGTTTTATCTGTCTATGACGGAAAATGCTTTGCCCACTCAGCCTGGATTTGAAACAAAACTCGCAATTTGGTTCCGCCGACTTAAAACTTAACGCCATGCTGCAGGGTGAGGAAGGAGAGTAAGGTAGCAATTTGGGGGTAGATCAAGGACCTTACCGGCACTTATATGACTCTATAGAGTTGAAAAATGCTGTAAAACTCTTACTAAAACTTAAAAAACAAGGACCTTACTGCATAACCTCCTTGGGGTAGATGTTACCTAGATCTATGTGAGCCCTGAGCGATGCAGATGATCAGGGTGGTGTGAGCTTGAAATCTCACGAGTGCCAGTGAAAGTGCTCGAGTAGTGAGCCACCTCGGAAACTTTCCTGGGTAGCCAGAAGCCAGAGGTGTGAAATTAGTTTGACCAATGCCTGCCGCCCTAATCGTATGGCCAGCCGAAAAAAAGAGTTCCTTGAATCATTCTTACATGGTCAAGCGAGTTGGCATTGGTTGACTGTGCTTGTTACACCGATGGGTGGGGCTAAGGGTGGAAGCAAAGGAGATGTTCAAACATTTCTGTTTTTAATAGGTAAGACAGTAGTCCTATGAAATGCAAGCACTTGTGGTAATTGGATAAGTAAGACTGACGCATGTCATTACCAGAGAGGATAGCAGTTGAGACGTGAGAAGTTTTGACCACTGCTTGCCGACCGAACAAGTGACCCTTGATCCAACCAGCTGGGCCTTTGAAACCCCCCACCATCTCCCCCCTAGATCCCTTGTCTAAGACATAATTTTTTTCTGGCTCCTTTGTGATTCATTCTTACACAGGTTCAACTGTATGTATGAATCTGACCATTGAGAAGAATAAAAAAGAAAGTGGAAAGTATTACCAAAAAGAAGGTTTAGTATGAGGTGGGTCCAAATTAAATTTAATTAAGATGACTCAAGAAAAGGACAAAAATATTGCAAAATGTTAAGATGCACTCGAGTTTGAAGCAATTCAACCCCATGTACCCACTCACCCTGGTCGGTTGACTCTGCTTCTCCTCTTTCTCTCTTTTCTTTCAGTTTCTCCTCCCTCATGGCTTTGGCTGCCTTCTGGCTCATTACAATCTTGAACTGCAGCTCTGAGAACAAAGTGACAAAACCTCCCAACAGTTTAAGCAAATTCATTGAGTCAGGGCAGTATTTTCCCAAAGCATAAACCATTACTATCAAAAGTACAAAACTGGTATTTTAAGTCAGCTACCATCACCATAAGTGTTGTCTAGTGGTTAGGCTTCTGGACTCGTAATTGTGAGGGTGAGATTGCTGGTTCAGGGGTTCGAGGCTCAACTCAGTTTGATGCATTATCCCTGCAAAAAGTACTTTACACAAATTTACCTATTTCGCTCTGTCTTATTGGAGATGGACATTAAATTCAGAGATCCTGCCTCTTACTCTTAAATAACCTCACAGTGTAGCAAGAGGTGTGAAACCTATACAATTTTGGACATTTTCACACCCCCACAAGAACTTAACAAGACAAAGCGACCAACCACACAGAACATATGACAGTACACACAGAAGTCAGTAATGTGCCCTAGTCTGCTCCACATGTGTTACAGACAGAACCAGCTGATGATAGATAAGTTACCTTTATTTTCCTTCTTGAGGCTTTCAACTTCCTCATGAAGTGAGTGGAGCACATCAGAATGCTGCTGTCGTAAAAACAACAGGCTGCGCTCCAGGTACTGAATCCTTTGAGCCGGGTTCATCTCTATGACAGACAAACGTTCATCGTCGTTTGCTCCATCTTTTAGGGACTCACCCAGGTCCATGTTCAGTTTGTTATCTTTGACAAATGGTTTTGGATAGCGAGCCTGGACAAAGCACATAATCATGAAGAATTTTATACTGAGACTTCAGAAATAAATCTTATGCTTGACTTGTCATATCTTTGGAAATTAAAGATTTATAATTGGCTAAGACAGCAACTAATAACACCATATAAACATTTAATCATTTCATGAGATATCATAATCTTATAATTTGATGATTATTTGACATTCAACTCTTTTTACAAAATTTAACAAATGAGGAAAATACAAAACATACTGCAATTCAGAAAACTCTTTTTGGTCAATGACTGAATAAAAGATGAAAGCATGAATAAGTTCTTTCCAGCAATGATTATTACACTACTAATATTAAGCACTTTTCTAAGACATAGTTAAAGTAGGCAATCAACAATGGCATTAGTAGCGACTTCTATACCAGTACCCACTACAAAGACTATCTAATAATTGTACTGATTAAGAAAAGTTTGAGTGCCAAATGAAAATAATAAAAGCAAATGGAGTAAATGAAAACTACAGTAAGTGGGACGAAAATGACAATGGGGTATCTATAAAAAGACTATGTCATAGTCTCGTCCGCTTCACCCCAACCCCAGCTATTCATACAAAAAAAGTTTTAATTTCCTTTGAAATACCAATTCTGACTCAAGAGTGTCTTTCAGAAAATGAATACTTGTAGCCTACTTAGTCAAACAGTTTTATATAAAGAGTAGGAATGATAGGAACAAAATAATGAAGAGAAAAAAAAATGTTTAAAGAAAAAATCAAACTTCCAAATCCTTTACCAGACGTTTCAGCAAAGAAAATCTAATAACCACCCAAACAGGATGAATCAACTTTGTTTAGAACAGTTTTTGATACTACCTTGACTCCAAATGTCCAGCCATAGGATCCATATTCTTAAATCTGTTGGGATCATATCTTTTTTTTATCTATGTGTCAAGGTATGAATAGTTTTCAAAAGAGTGGATTGTATTCAGATGCAGCATGAATGTTTTGTGAAAGGGAGTGTATCTCTCTGTCTCCTTACCTTATGACCTTATGAGGGCCAATAGGATATGCATATGTCTTGTGTGTGCGTGTGTGTGCGTGCACGTGTGTGAGTGTGTGTGAGTGTGTGTGTGTGTGCGCGGGCACGTATGTGTGTGTGTATTTATGTGTGAGTACTTAAGTATTCACTTGTAAGTGCACATGTGAACAGTTGCACGAATGCAGATGCGTGTGTGAGCGTACACACTTATGCCAGTGTGTGTTTTAAAATGTATTATAGGCCTACATGATGGGTTCTAGAGTTTCTGAGAGAGACAAACAGACATCAAAGAGATGGGGAGAAGAGAGTAACAGGGAGAAAGAAAATGGAAAAGAAAAGAGTAAAAAGAGTGACATGGGAAAGATAATAATTACTTCCATCTGTTCTAAGAAGAAAGATGAAAGTAGAGATAATTGTTGGGATATAAAGAAAACCTTTATAACTTCCCTATAATATTTTTTTCATATATGGGTTGCAGGAAAAAGACACAGACACAAACAGAACATTTTAATCTTAAAAGATTGAAAGAAGCAAAGGAAGAGCCAACCTTGTCTAACACATTGACACGAGACCATTGGGGCAGAGTGTTCAGTGGAGGCAAGGGGTTGTTCATTGTCGACAGGTCTAAAATCCGATCCTGGACCAAACCCGGTCTGATCATCCTATGACCTTGACCAAGAGATCAAAGAGTCACCGATTTCCTTTAGTCCTGAAATGTTATTGCTATGTTAGGGTTAGTCAGAAAAGCCTTTCGGCTTTCTTCAGAAACCACTGAAAAGAAATGAGGAAAAAAAAGAGGATCAAAATCCAAAATCAAGGAAATAAAAACAAGATCAATTCAGCATGGAGTGATGGGTGTACTGCACAAACACATGAGACCCCCTACACCCAATATTAAAAAAAGAACAATGTGCGAGCCAGAAAAAAAAGTCTCCTGGTATAAGCATTCAGCTTGTGAGAGACAAATATTATTTTGGTGCTTTGAAAAGTACTTTAAACATAATACTACAACCAGCTGAGTATAAAAGCTTTATTCATCTATATTCAATGTCTATGACTCTCTTAAACTTTTCTTTATGACTTTATGCATTTGGTAAGTTGAAAGAAACTTGCTCCTAAAACCCCAGTCTGTGCCAACACAAGAAAGAGAAAAGCGTGAGTTGGGACATGGTGGAATCAGCCACTCGTCAATTTTGGGGCATATATGGGGTTATTGGTATAATCTTAAGTCCTGTTTATTCGCCTTGTTTTTGATAAATAAAAATAGTCATCTATCTTGAAAAGAAATGCATATATATTAGTAACTGAAGAAGATGGGGGTCGCCTTATGTCAGGAGCAAAATGAGTGAGAAAATGACCACCAAAATTTGGTTACTTCCAAAGCTTGAGTGGCCTTAGAGACTGCAAATCTACATTTCTCTGTGCCTTTGATTAATGTTTTTCGATAAAATCTAGGCAGAAATGAGTCATTAAATACACATAAAAGTCTTGCAGAAAAAAACCCACAACAAAAATTAGATTAGATTATTCATGGGGCAGAAAAATGCTGATTTCTCTGATTTCATTATTTTGATGAGCACCTGATTTCACAACAGTGCCAAACATAAAACCAGAAAAAAGCCTCACTACTTGCAGAAGAATGATTCAGTATCCGTAGGTAGAAAAAGATCAAAATCTAACAATAACATTTTAACTCACTCAGCCCTGAGCCCCAGATAGTCGGGTTGCGCACATCTGCACTGGGCCCTGAACCCAACAGTACGAGGATAGAAATTCCTACTGCTTAATGACGTAAACAGACATCAAATATTGAAATAAGAACGGACTCTACTTTACACCTGAGCCCTGGCCATTTCTTTATAAGAAACAGACTATTACAAGGGCGAAGGTTGCTTTCTTGACCTACAATTGAAAACGACTTAGCACATAAAGTGAGAACAAGTCTTGCTCTTTCATCCGAGACACTTTTTAGTGCGTGTTGCTGACCTTTTTTAAATGGCAATATCTCACAGACTATCAAACATTTTCAAATTCTGTAAACGGTAATAGTCCATGTAATGACAAAACAAAGTGTGTGTGAAATATTACAGCAATTGAAGTTGATTTAGTTTAGTTTGGGTTTTTTCAATTTTACTTAAAGATCTTAAACCACTAGGCACAGCAGCCAGCAGACCGGGCCCCAGGGCTGAGTGAGTGAAACTAAAGCCATACTCTAGCGCTAGCAAGTGTTGAAATAATAGTAAAAGACTATACAGGTACAAGTAAAATGTTAATACAGGCAAACCTGTCCATGATGACCATGCACCCATTATTGAGAACAAAAGTGGTCATCTTACACAGGTTGACCTCTTGGACAGTTTCATTACAATACAGAAAAAACCGCAAGTGGGGAAGTGGGAGATGTTCGTTTGTAAAGCTGGTTCTTGGAAAGGTAGCTGCTACAGCAGTTTTGACAGTGTTTCTGACTTCAACTGATAAAATCAAAACAGATAAATGTAGGCAATGGGCCTCTAACCCAACCACTAAGAGAAAGGAAAAGGGTATTTTATAGTAGTACAAAACGCTATTTGCAGCTGACCTGACAAACAGATCAGAGTAACCTATGTTTGAGGGGGTAAGATGGAAAAAATGGCTATCAGATACACAGAGTGTTTTCGGCCCAAACCCAACACATACTTTATAAAAGTAAAAGCCACCCAAAAATCTTCTTTTTAGGCATGTTCACTCAAAAAAGCTGATATTCTCAAAAGTGCAAAAGTGGATGTTGCGGTTTTTGCATCCCAGGCCCTGACCATTTCTCACTCATACAGCTATAAAAAAGTCTGTTGTGCTTATAAGCATGTATCATAAGCCTACTATGTCTTCCAAAGTACCTTACATTTTAGATTTTAATTTTAATGGACAAGACAACTTTGGTAAATCAAAACAAATTCTATCTTTGTCTCTTTTTGTTCCATATTTATATGATATATCATTATTATCAAGTGCCAGATCTGGAACAGATGTTGGCAAATACGGTTCACCACATCATTACTCTACTTGCATGCTCTTAAAAGAACTATATCATTGTGGTCTTTCCTCTTCGTCCATCTATTCCAGTACACTAAGTAAGTTGTTCTGGGTCTAAACCTGCCTCTTTTGCCTTCTAATATTCCAGTGAAAGTAAGATGTTCAAAGCCATTATAGTGTCGATTAAAGTGTCCCACAAACTGCATAATTTGTCTCTTCATAATTGGGTTTTTTTTTGTGAGTATGCCATGCAGCTTTCTTTCAGCACTGCTTCTTTCATTTGATTTTAATTCTTTTTCTTCCTCCATAGAATTCTCATCAGTCTCCTGAGAAACCATACTGATGTATTATGTTTCTTTTAGTTTATTTTCACTATTTTTTCTCCAGCACTCACAATATAGGAATAAAGGAGTTAGATTTCCCATTTTTTCTCTGCATGAAAATCAATAAAAATAACTCATATCCAACTAACACCAAAATGAGCAGGCTCCGATTCAACGAATCGCTAGCAGTGAAAACTGCTCTTTGGGACCAACAAGTGCCCTCCTTTCATATCAAAACACGCATTATTAGCACGCACCCATGTCTTACTTAGCTTGTGTCTACATAATGAATTGGACGCTGGACTGTGGAATCAAACGTTGCCGTATGCTAGGCCCTACACACAGGGCCGAATCAGCGGTCGTTTAGTTTCGGCAGGCCGTACGCTGCTGGGTCAGCGAGACCGGGGTCAGCTGCCGGTCATTCTACCTGTGCTCACTCCACTCGTGGGGTTATTACCAAGGCATATATACCGTTTTGTTTCAACGCTCACCAAATAAAGAGGAACTATCAACAGATACAAATTGTTTCATCAATGAGTTTCTACTTTCATTGTATAGTTTGTGAAAACGCGACGAAGATATCTGGAATAGCTTGTCAACAACATGTGAACAAAGACAGCCGTCTTATCTTTGGTAATAAAAGTAATATACACCGAATTAAAAGTTATATAACAACCAAAGTAGTCTGTGAAATTCATTCAAAATTGCTAAGAATAAAGACAACCAAAGTGGGCAACTACTCACCAAAGGGCATCAAAGTCGGGAAAGTACAGTGGATTTCGGATTCAACAAACTCGGATTCAACAAGAGGAGATGGATTTCCCGTTCTTTTTCTTCTTTAAAATCAATAAAAATAACTCGGATTCAACGAGCACTTAAATCAGCAAACTCGGATTCAACAAGGTCGCTTCTAGGGTGAACAGCTCCTGTAGACATGGCTTTGCTCATTTTTCTCCCAGAACGAACTTTATCTATTCCTGGAAACCATCCATTGCACCAGCATCATGAACCATTATTCGCTTAGCCGATTGCAAGCGACCAATCAGTGGCCTTCTTTCATACCAACACACGAGTTGTTGGCACGCGCACGTGTCTACACGAGGCCTAGTGTGTGTCGGGGTCGGATGGGTGGCTTCCACACGTGTGACTGTGTGTAGTGTGCGTGTGTCAGGGAGGGGGGGGCACTAGCTGTCCGGAGGTGGAATATCGCAGAGATACAAACGAGTCAGTCATTCCCCCCCCCCCCCCCGGCAAATGATCATTATTACAATGACATGCTAGCCTTGACATAGAAGTACTTAATGAATTGAGCGCTGGTCTATGGAATAAAAAATTGCCGTATGCTAGGCTCTACACAGCAACACAACAATCCAGATGACACCGGTGTGCATTTTAACGGATTGGTCTTTTTCGGGAGGGGCACAGCTCATAATATGCAGGCATTTCAGGCACCACTTGTTACTTCTCTTTATACATTACTTGCTCAGTGCCGGTAATTATCTACACAAAACCTTATGTTTGCTATAACGAACCCTCGGATTCAACGAGACTTTAGTTCAGGCCCGGCGACCTCGTTGAATCCGAGTTCCACAGTCGGGAAAGTAGTAATCCACGTTTTTGCATTTTTGTTCAACAACCAAATTCGTTGGGCTGGTGGTAAAATTCAGATTATAGTATTTATTCACTAATGACACAGGTCTGTTTACACATAATATTTTTTGTATAGTGCAAGGTTATCTATGATGCCGTGGACGTTTTCTTCGCGCTTGTGGCCTCGATGCACAGTGTAGGTGCTGTTTGAAGCAAATGTGTGTTCATAACGTATCATAATATTTCTTTACTGTCTACGATGCCTTAAGCCCGCTTTTCAATTTCGGTTATTGACTAGTGACAGCTTTCAGTTCCTTGTTCTCCCAGCAGCCCCAAGCCAAAGCAATTGTCTGGTTGTTGGGTCATATATGGAGGTTGTTTGACTGGGTGTGACAGGCAGTGGTGGTGGGTGGACCAAAATTTGGGTGGGGCTTAGGTTGCTTCCAGTTCTTTACCACCAAATAGCAAGCAATAAGAACTTAACAGTGATGATTTTTCTATACTCACGGTGAGCCACGGCAGTTTGAGAACCATTCAAACAAGAAGAGTTACCTTTGTTTTTCATCTCTTTGTTCTTAGTTAAATTCTTGTTGATGTTGGGGACGAAGCCGATTCACCTCCAAATTTCCTCTAATTAGTTTTCGGGTGACGAAAAAGTTGCCTTAAAAGTAGTTCGACCTGATTTGTAAATGTTAAGTCTCAGCGTCACAAACACAAACATACACACATAGCACTTCAAACATAATACTTCTACGAGCTGGATTAGGCCGTGTAGTCGAGAAAGGTGAACGCACCCAGCAAAGAACCAATGAGCGCAAAGGTATCTGTGTCAGTGGGGGAAAGTGTGTCGTAAACTTTCACCCCATTGTAAGGGCTAGGAGAGCCTTGGTACAGTGTTATTTTTTCCCAGTCTTCTACCTTTTTACAACAAGAGTTTCATTAAGGACAGGCAGTGGGAAAAGGGCTCATCTTCTCTGAGCCCTATAGACATGTGATTGGCTGCTGGGTTGCTATAGTTGTAAGCGGTGACAACAGTGATTGGATAAGCGAGCAAACCGCCAAGTTGATCACGCTGTGTTCATTGCGTGCGGTCATAACGGTTTCAACTGCTTATTTCATTCTAGAGAAACTTTCATTTAATTTGGGACAGAGTTGGGGGTGGTGGGTGGGGAGGGAGTAGGGGCTCAAGCCCGTGAGCCCTTCACTACCCACCGCCACTGGTGACAGGGCTGTGTTGTGAGGGGAGACTACGGTTGATGCTGGGAGAATCACCAGCAACTGTTGCAGCGGGCTCCTTTGGTGATTTCAGATAGCCCTCTGACACACTGACACGATGACGAAAAACACTGTAATCTTGTATCGTATTTTGATTGTCGAATGTACACCATATGTGCTGGCTGTGTCTGACCAGATCTCGCACCTTTTTAAGTGAAGTGCAGATGAGATGGTGTTCTTCTTAGTGTCATAGGTCCTAAGGTGGCATTTGTGGCAAATAAACCTCAAATATTTGTCACTTGTGTCTTCTCTAATGTTAATATTATAAATTAACAAAATCTCACCTTGCGGTGACTCACATGTACTAGCCTTTCTTTTCAACCTCTTTTATACTTCACTTACGTTCTTAAACCCGCAAACGTGACAAATTTCATTCAGGGGTGAGGTATGTCTCTCGATAGTGTGTTCCATTGGGAGGTTTCAATATACTTGTAAGAAATGAATCACGGGCAGATGGATTCTAACACACTAACAGGTTTCAATCAACAAAGATAAAATTAATACAAATGAAGCTTAAATATGTCTTTTGTTTTGTTTTTGTAAAGTGTTTTACGGCGCTCGCAACTGCATAAGGTCATATGAGCGCGCGGGACACACCTAATATTTTCAGTTGGTAGGAAATTTTGAATTTTGCACGGGTGGCGGCCGAAGCCTACTCTTATCGATTTTAGACCACCAAGGGATCTTTAATGTGCGCAACTTGCACACGGGCCCTCCGAGATTTTTCGCCCTTGTCCGAGAAGGCTAGGTGTAGATCTTTCCTACCGGAAGATCAGGGGTGTGGCAGAAAGACAGCACTAAGGAGGAGCCAAGGAGTAACAGCAGAAAGGCTGCAGAAAGAGTCAGGAGCCCAGAGGAGGGGGCAAAGGAGGTGAGGGGGTGGGGGCAGAAAATGGAAATGAAAGCAGACAACAGAACATTGCTAGAGAGTAGGAAAGGAGGTGAAAGGAGACAATTTTAGAGAAGAAAATTTTTTGGTCGCTACCTAGATTCGAATCCGGGACCCTTGAATGAGAGGCCAACACCTTAACCTCTAGGCCACGAGAGCCCCCTAAATATGTCTGCCTTTCATAAAAACAACAATCTTTGAAATTAGCGGAGAACTGTTGAACTTAGAACAGCATAGAATCCAGCATACACAGTTGCACAGGCAAATAACAAATCACTGGATGAGAATCGAATGAAAGTGACTAAATATCGCAACAACCGTTCATCCGACTGTGATGGAGTTTATATATATATATATATATATATATATATATATATATATATATATATACAAATATGTCACTGGTGGTGCATGTACTAAAATTTGATGAGACTCGCTGTCAACTTTGGAAATTAAAAGTGAATTAAGTGCAGCACACACAGAATAAATTTGATGAAATTCAGAACATTTTGCACACGCTGTAACATTGGCAAATATCGTCGCATTGAGATCGGCTTTTCGCAGACTGAGAGGGGGAATCTTGCTCTTTTCTTTTTGGGTGGAATAATTTGAGGTTAGAGTGAGGATGCTGCCGATAGTTAGTGTCAAAAGTGTCGATTAAGCCATGAACTGTCCGCCTGTAGCTGATGCGCAACAGAGTGGCCAGAGACCCCCACGTAACACGGCACGGAGCAGTGATTTAATGACTTCCAGAAGTCACTGGCCTGGGAAACAAAGAGGCACGATTTCGGCCAGTTTTCGGCTCTGTGTACACAGCAACATAACTTGTTTGGCAAACAATACATTCCGTTATAGCTTATTATGATAGATGACACAAATGTGTCTTTGAACGAATCTGGCCCTTTTGTGCAGCATGCACTTGGTAAAGTTCAGTGTATTTTCCTGGAATTTTCCAGCATTTCTTCGGTATCAAAGAAACAAAAATGCCTCTAATTTGAAACCAAAATGCTACTTTGATTTAGAAAGTCGAATACATTATATATTCAGCATTACTTGCTCTGTGCCTGTAGTTTAACTTCACAAAAACCTGATATGTGCTATAACAAACACTCAGATTCAACTAAATTGAAGGCCAGGCCCGACGACTTCGTTGAATCCATGTTCCACTGTACTACGACCAAAACAACTTGGTAGAAATATTGCCTCATACTTTAGCAAGAAAAGAAACATAGGCGTTTTTGTAGGTTCGTTTGTTAAAGTCAAGAGTAGGGGGTTTCAGGGGGGCTTGCCCCCCTGACCTTATAAAAAATACGAAGGTGGGGGGGGGGGGGGGGGGGGAGGGGGGCATGCCCCCCTGAATTTTATCCTAATTTGATGTTTTGCATCCCTGCTCTTTGTGTAGCCTAATTCAAATAGTATTTGGTCTTCAAGACTTCTGGATTTCCTCTCTGGATATAAACAAATGGATCGTGAACTACAAGATCACCTAAACATATATTCCTCTGGCTTTTACTGTTATCTAGAGATCTAGATACAACTTCATTTCAAAATAGCTCTAACCTTAGCCCTAGCCTAAATCTAGAATGCTACAGCTACAGACTTGTACTATTCTGTCTGCTGAGCCTACACACAAAAAATACATAGAATCTAGATTTAGATCTAGATCTAAATATCTAGATCTAAATAGATTTCTAGGTTAACACCACCAGAACCAGAGAAAAACTATAAATTATCAACTGCAGAATAAGGTCTAAATTTGAATCAGATTAATTCAAATGAAGAAATAATCAGAAACTGCAATCATTGCAGGTAATAGATCTATGTGTGCATCATTACATTGTATGGAGTAACAAGAATAGAAGATCTACCCTAGCCTGTTGTCCAAATCCAAGAAGTCCGAGACAAGGGGTGTCTAATTCCATCTTCTCTCCAAAGCTCTCATACTGGGTAATGGAACGAAATATGAATCCTGAATGCAAATCTCGTATCAGTTTTGATAGTCTAAAGAGGCATGAGGAATCCCATTAGGAGGAACACACAGAGTTGAAAATGTAGGTCTCGCATTGGTCAAGCGCATTGTCATGCAAATTACATGGCGCTTGTTACTAACGAGGATAAACAAAAAAATCACAACAGCGTAGTTTCGTATCGCTAATTTTTTCTTAACAGGCCAGCAGACATTCTCATATACATAACAATATGTAATTTTCCGACTCTGAAGTTTCTAAAAATCCTTAATTGTGCCCAGATCATGGGATCGAGTAACTCGCACCTGCTAAAAGACACGGTTGTCAATGACTCTGTCCGCCATTATTTTTTCTTGACAAGGGAGTCAACTCGATTAAATTAATTTCCGGTGCACTGTTTTCAAGTTGGTGCTTGCTGCAGTTGAATGAAAGAAGATTGATAGACAAAGCCCAACAAGCTAACAGCCTTCTAATGTTTTTGTTTTTTGCAAGTTGTGTTTTGACAGAACGATCGGCTCGATCTGTTTTCAGGTGGTAGTGTACCACACTGCTCTTCATTGCAAATCTAGTTTTCTGTCTCCATACATTCTCATCAATCATATTGACATTATTGACAGTTGCTGTTGAGTGGAAGGGTAAGTCAAGTTGTTTGTTGACTAAAGTAAAGTGTAAAGTCTTAAGTGCTGTGTTTACTTGTGTCGACCTCCCTACTCTAGATCTAGAATCTAGATCTACAGTGACTACAGTCAAACCTGTCCCTAGATCTAGATCTAGTCAATAATAAAACGAAGTGACTATTTCTCCGAACGTTCGGAGAAATAGTGCCGATCTTTATTTCTCCGAACGGTTTCCGGCTTCCGGTCTCGTGATTTTTTGTCTATTTATTGCGAGAGTTCGGCACCAACTTTCATTCTGCCTCTGGCCTCTGGTCTGGGAAGGAACACCGCATGGCAAGCCCGCCTACAGACAACCTTCAGTAACACCCACCACACACCCACCACCATCATGCACATGTACACACACTAACTAAACATGACCAGTGGGCAACTTTTGAATGTATGACGAGCTGAGCTGTGGACGGAGAGACAGTGTGAGTGAAAGAGCGGGTGAAAGGAAGAATGTGCGAGTGTATCCACAGGCGACAGCAACTACAAGACAAGACGACGACACCGACCCCCTGGCCTGGTCCACAGCTCACGAAAGAAAGGAATGCAGCTCAGGCAGTGTTTTGCCTATATTATTGTCCATGGTTCGCAGGGTGCGAAGGAAAGAATGATATTTTCTTTGTGTGTGCCTGGAGGGAGGGGGTGGGGTATGAAGAAAGTCATGCGGACAGGGATGAGCCGCGGGAGAGAACACGGGAATTGAATGAATGAGGGAAACTGAAAGAGACGAAAGACTCATGAGCCCTGGAGTGAATGGATCCTGTGTTTCTATTTTTGTATACTTTGAACTGTTACTGAATACAGGCTGAAATAAAACCCGAAAACACACACACACACACACACACACACACACACACACACACACACACACACACACACACCTCACTCTGCACTTACTACCACACACAGATACACTCACACACGCACATACATACACACACACACACACACACACACACACACACAGGAGCAAATTTTTGGGTCTATATCTATTTCAATTTTCAAGAGCTAGTCTAGAGATTTTTAGATGAGTGTAAAAACGTGAAAAAGAAAGGTTTCACAACAGAAAGAAATCAAAATTAGAACAGCCCATAAACAACAACAAACATTAACAAATAAGGGCGTGTGTCCACCTGTCCGAAGAAGATGGGCTGTTTTAATCCTAAATGTGCGTAATAAAAAAAAAAAAAGGACAGGATATTACATGTAAATTATGGAATCACACACATTAAGGGGCTTTGCCAGTGTCAGTACATTGGTCGCAGCAGTGACAAACGCAGATGCCAGTTCTATGTGTCGTTATCAATAACCCTCCGTAGATCTAGATCTAGATCTAGACAGCACACGAATGAACACAACACATTACGTTTAAGAGCAGCACCCTTCATAGGCAACACGCCATATCTGTAGCGAAAAACTGTTTGGAATTGTAGCATTTCTTTATATAAATATTTACTGCGGACATTTTTAGGACCGCTTGAACCATATTGTACCCGAACAATCTTTGGTAGGCTTATACTATAATTATAGATCTATATAATATCCGAAATTTGCGAGAAAGGATGTGATTTCAGAGTGTTCGGAGAAATAGTGCCCAGCTTTATTTTCCCGAACGTTCGGAGAAATAGTGCCTAGCTTTATTTTCCCGAACGTTCGGAGAAATAGTGCCCAGCTTTATTTTCCCGAACGTTCGGAGAAATAGTGTTGGGGAAAATAAAGCTGGGCACTATTTCTCCGAACGTTCGGGAAAATAAAGCTGGACACTATTTCTCCGAACACTCTGAAATCACATCCTTTCCCGCAAATTTCGGATATTATATAGAGTATAGGCGTACCTAAGATTGTTTGTATACAATATGATTCAATCGGTCCAAAAAAATGTCCGCAGTAAATATTTATATATAAAGAAATGCTACAGTTCCAAACAGTTTTTCGCTACAGATATGACATGTTGCCTATGAAGGGTGCTGCTCTTAAACTTAATGTGTTGTGTTCACTCGTGTGCTGTCTAGATCTAGATCTACGGAGGGTTATTGATAACGACACATAGGACTAGCTTCTGCGTTTGTCGCGGCCGCGACCAATCGATCGTGGCTCTATTTTTTGGCATTTTTTGGTCGGGGAATAAAAGTCAAATTTAACTGAAAGAAACCGAGCCGAACCTCTTTACTTTTGAAAAGAAAGTTCACTTAGCTTCACTTAGTCTCTTTCTCACTTGTTGTCACCCCGTTGATTTATTGAATGCGTTACAGTTACTTTTATTTTTCCCTCTTTGACTCTTTGACTTTGTGATGTTTTATTTTGTTAGTGTGTAATTTTTTTTCTTGTTCTGATGTGTTGTTTTTCTATCAATTTTTTTTGTTGGGGAAAAAGGGGGGTGGGGGGATGTTGCATAGTGTAATGTCATTTAATTTGATGTTCCTACCTTCATTAGATTCATTACATGTACATGTATATAGATTTAAATGTCTTATGTTAGAGCGTACGTTCCACCAAAACCAATTACATGGACTGACACTGTGATTCCATAATTTACATGTAATATCCTGTACTTTAAAAAAATTTACACACATTTATGGTTAAAACAGCCAATCTTCTTCGGACAGGTGGACACACGCCCTTTTTTGTTAATTTTTGTGGTTGTTTATGGACTGTTCTAATTTTGATTTCATCCTCTTGTGAAACCTTTCTTTTTCACGTTTTTACACTCATCTAAAAATCTCTAGACTAGCTCTTGAAAATTGGAATAGATATAGACCCAAAAATTTGCTCCTGTGTGTGTGCGTGTGTGTGTGTGTGTATGCATGTGCATGTGTGAGTGTGTCTGTGTGTGGTAGTAAGTGTGTAAGTGGAGAGTGAGGAGCGTGTGTGGGTTTGTTTTTCAGGCTTTATTTCAGCCTTTATTCAGCAACAGGTCAAAGTATACAAAAATAGAAACACAGGATCCATTCACTCCAGGGCTCATGAGTCGCAGTTTCACTCATTCATTCAATTCCTGTGTTCTCTCCCGCGGCTCATCCCCGTCCGCATGACTTTCACACCCCACCCCCTTCCTCCAGGCACACACACAGAAAATCTCACTCTCTCCCTTGTACCCTGCGAACCATGGACAATAATATAGGCAAAACACTGCCTTAGCCACATTCCTTTCGTTCGTGAGCTGTGGACCAGGCCAGGGGGGTCGGTGTCGTCGTCTTGTAGTTGCTGTCGCCTGTGGATACACTCGTACATTCTTCCTTTCATCCGCTCTTTCACTCACACTGTCTCTCCATCCACAGCTCAGCTCATCATATGTTCAAAAGTTGCCCACTGATCATGTTTAGTTAGTGTGTGTATAAGTTTGTGTGTGTACATGTGCATGATGGTGGTGGGTGTGTGGTGAGTGTTACTGAAGGGTGTATGTAGGCGGGCTTGCCATGCGGTGTTCCTTCCCAGACCAGAGGGCACTGGGCAGAGGGGCAGAATGAAAGTTGGCGCCGAACTCTCGCAATAAATATAGGCAAAAAATCACGAGACAGGAAGCCGGAAACTGTTCGGAGAAATAAAGATCGGCACTATTTCTCCGAACGTTCGGAGAAATAGTCACTTCGATAATAAAATTAGAACCAGGGAGCCAGATAAAAAAAGGCAGGCACTATTTGCAATGCCGCGTTCTGAATAGCTCCATGCTATTTGAAACGCTGCATTCTGAAAAGCTCTCATGCCGTGCCCGCCGGGCCATGCTATTTGAAACGCCAGTAGATCTACTAGATACTAGATGTAGATCTAGTAGGCATCATTTCTACATAATAATATTTTAGTTCTGCCTGAATTTTGTGGCTAAGCCTTCTCAGTTGCTTGGTAAACCTTCAGATTTGACTCCTTTTTTCATGATGTTGTCGTATTCCGATCAATGTGGGGTAGATCTTGATCTAGAATCTAGATTAGATCTAACAATTGTTTCCGACATTGTTTGCACAAAAGTAGACTAGATGTAGTTTTGTTCATCTCTCATAATTATAGGCCGGCACTATTTCTCCGAACGTTTGGGAAAATAAAGCTGGGCACTATTTCTCCGAACACTGAAGAAATCACATCCTTTCCCGCAAATTTCGGATATTATATAGAGTATAGGCCTACCAAAGATTGTTCGTATACTATATGGTTCAATCGGTCCGAAAAATGTCTGCAGTAAATATTTATATATAAAGAAATGCTACAGTTCCAAACAGTTTTTCGCTACAGATATGACATGTTGCCTATGAAGGGTGCTGCTCTTAAATTAATCTTAATGTGTTGTGTTCACTCGTGTGCTGTCTAGATCTAGATCTACGGAGGGTTATTGATAACGACACATAGAACTGGCATCTGCGTTTGTCGCGGCCACGACCAATCAATCGTGGCTCGTTTTTTTGGCATTTTTTTGTTCCTGAATCGGGGAATAAAAGTCAATTTTTTTTTAAAAGAAAGAAAGAAAGAAAGAAACCGAACCTCTTTACTTTTGAAAGAATGTTCACTTAGCTTCACTTCGTCTCTTTCTCACTCGTTGTCACCACGTTGATTTGTTGAATACGTTACAGTTACTTTTATTTTTCCCCCTTTGACTCTTTGTGGTGTTTTTTCTTGTTATTGTTCTGATGTGTTCTTTTTCAATCCATTTTTTTTGTTGGAGAAAAGGGGGGTGGGGGTGTTGTATAGTGTAACGTCATTTAATTTGATGTTCCTACCTTCATTAGATTCTAAATATATAATATACATGTATATATATATAGATTTAAATGTGTTATGTTAGAGCGTACGTTCCACCAAAACCGATTACATGTACTGACACTAGCAGGCCCCTTATTGTGTGTGATTCCATAATTTACATATAATATCCTGTACTTTTTTAAAAATGTACGCACATTTAGGGTTAAAACAGCCAATCTTCTTCGGACAGGTGGACACACGCCCTTATTTGTTAATTTTTGTGGTTGTATATGGGCTGTTCTAATTTTGATTTCATTCTGCTGTGAAACCTTTCTTTTTCACGTTTTTACACTCATCTAAAAATCTCTAGACTAGCTCTTGAAAATTGGAATAGATATAGACCCAAAAATTTGCTCGCGTGTGTGTGTGTGTGTATGCATGTGCATGTGTGAGTGTGTCTGTGTGTGGTAGTAAGTGTGTAAGTGGAGAGTGAGGAGCGTGTGGGTTTGTTTTTCAGGCTTTATTTCAGCTTTTATTCAGCAACAGGTCAAAGTATACAAAAATAGAAACACAGGATCCATTCACTCCGGGGCTCATGAGTCGCAGTTTCACTCATTCATTCAATTCCTGTGTTCTCTCCCGCGGCTCATCCCCGTCCGCATGACTTTCACACCCCACCCCCTCCCTCCAGGCACACACAGAGAAAATCTCACTCTCTCCCTTGTACCCTGCGAACCATGGACAATAATATAGGCAAAACACTGCCTTAGCCGCATTCCTTTCGTTCGTGAGCTGTGGACCAGGCCAGGGGGGTCGGTGTTGTCGTCTTGTAGTTGCTGTCACCTGTGGATACACTCGTACATTCTTCCTTTCACCCGCTCTTTCACTCACACTGTCTCTCCATCCACGGGTCAGCTCGTCACACATTCAAAAGCTGCCCACTGATCATGTTCAGTTAGTGTGTGTATAAGTTTGTGTGTGTACATGTGCATGATGGTGGTGGGTGTTTGGTGGGTGTTACTGAAGGTTGTATGTAGGCGGGCTTGCCATGCGGTGTTCCTTCCCAGACCAGAGGGCACTGGGCAGAGGGGCAGAATGAAAGTTGGCGCCGAACTCTGGCAATATAAGCAAAAAATCACGAGGTTGGAAGCCGGAAATCGTTCGTAGAAATAAAGATCGGCACTATTTCTCCGAACGTTTGGAGAAATAGTCACTTCGATAATTATAAGGAAGTGCCTATTTGCAACGCAGCGTTGCGATTAGCGCCAGTGCTAAATAAAACGCCGTGTGTAAAATATTAAGCTTAATCTGCACTTCGTTATCGGAAGTTCTGATGGCCGAAGTGACAGCGCATCTGCACTTGAAGTCAAACCATTATTTTTTTAGCGTGGGTTCGATCCCGGTCCTGGACGTTTGTTTTTTTTGGTATTTTTTGTTGTTGTTGTTGTCCTCTTCTCGACTGACCAACAAATTGTTCCCATAATTATATCTTGTTGCTTTGTAGTTTTTTTTATGTAGTGATGAAGCATGCACATTCTGGTTTTGTCCCCAAGAGGAGCTCTGTACAAAGTAGGCCTTAGTATAGCCTATACTTTTCCTTTTACCAATTTAGGCCTGGTTAAAGTTCAGTAGTGGCCTTCCTTGGTCTGTGAGTCTAATTTATAAAAAAATAAAAAAATTTTAGGCTCAGGAGAAGGAAAAAAAACCCCCTCCAGAACCGGGATTCCATGCCCCGCTTGGACGCACTGAACATTAGACTTAGAGAACGTAGACAGTAGACAGCTTGTATACACGTTCTCTAGGCCTAACTTAAAGTTCGAGTTGCACCGTCTTGTTATTGTTATCCAAGCGTCTTTCGACTTAAACTTGCTCAAACTCTAACTCAAATGATTATGATTATGAGAGAGGAACAAGACGTCTACTTTTGTGCAAACAATGTCAGAAACAATTGTTAGATCTAATCTAGATCTAGATTTTTCTAGATCTAGATCTACCCAATATTGATCGAAATAAGACAACGTCATAAAAAAAGGAGTCAAATCCTAGGAGGTTTATCAAAAAACTGACAAAGCTTCCACAATTTAGGCAGAACTACAATATTATCATGTAGAAACGATGGCTACTACATTTAGATCTAGATTCTAGATTTAGTACTGGCGTTTCAAATAGCACGGTAGCTATTCAGAACGCGGTGTTGCAAATAGCAAGGGAGCTATTCAGAACGCGGTGTTGCAAATAGCGCTTGCCTAATTATAATAGTTTGAGTTTGAGCAAGTAAGTTGAAAGACGCTTGGATTATAACAATAAACAAGACAGTGCACCTCGGGTTCTCTAATGTTCAGTGCTTACTAGCGTGGCATCGAATCACGGTCCCGGAAGGTTTTTTTCCCTGAGCCTAAAAAAAAAAAAAAAAAAATTAAACTCACAGACTTAGGAAAGCCACTATTGAACTTTAACTTTAACCGAGTTATAATTATGGGAAAAATTTGTTGGTCAGTCAAGAAGAGGACAAAAAAAAATAAAAATTCCAGGACCGGGATTCGTACACACGCTCATAAAATAATGGTTTCGCTTCCAACGCAGTCGCGCTGTCCCTTCAGCCATCAGAACTTCCAACAATGAAAGGTAGATTACGCTTCATATAACACACGCCGTTTTATTTAGCACTATCACTAATCGCAATGCAGCGTTTTATTTAGCACTGGCGCTAATGGCAACGCGGCATTGCAAATAGGCACTTCCGAAAAAAATCCATTTTAGACCTTTTCTGCCTTCGACAGGAAAAGCCTCTCTGATAATGGCATGTGTCAGTCATACTATCCATTGACACCAGTGATTGCATCTCAGGACCACTGTTTGATCTATTATATAAAAGAAAATTAATTTAACTTGATCGTTTCCTTATTTCCACCCATCAATGTAGGCTAATTATAAGCACTGCCACCCTCCCCCTTCATGTAGGCCTATTCATTTTTTTCGGCTGGCGGAATGGAAAGAGACTGTTTTATTGCTGAAAGATCTGAAAAGTAACATCCGTCAACTGTATGAGAAATTTATAATAAGCTAAGGGGAAAAAAATGTGAAAATGAACTCAAAGCAATAGTTGTGATTTCTTAGGAGACTTTTGAGAATTTCGTGCCCAGAAAAGATACCAAATGAGGTAGTGGTGAAAGAACATCCGCCCAGCAAGTGGAACGCTCTCTAATTATAAAAACAAATAGAGGAAGGGTCAAAAATGCAGTTTTTGGAACATTTGCAACGCATAGAGATTTAATCAAAGTTTTGTCATCCTACTCTCACTGGAAAAATAGAACTCAAAAGAGACATGGGTTGATAAAAAACCACTTACGAAGAGAGTAGCAACAGGTTTTATTGAGGGCATCTAAGCAGAGAAATGAGTTTCTTACCATGATCACCAATGTCTCTTTCACAGATCAATCTTCACTTCATGATGATGATGTCAGGTGGACAATTCACTTGCAGTTAAAGTTTAAGTGATTGTGTGCTTTGTGATGTTATCAAGAGACATAGACAATGGTGGTACCCGAAATGGCAGTGCTCAGACATAACTTTATATTTATACATGCTGAAAAATGACTGAAGTTCAACATAGCTGAAATTAACAAATATTCCCTGACCCAGTGTCATTTGACTGGTCTGGGAAGCAAGTTCCTGAAAGTTCAGACCCCAGCAATCTGTCATCAATTTCTTATTGTTGTGGAACGCTCCTGCAAACATCATGTCGTTTTCCCAATATCAACTGCCGTACCAGAACCAACTGCAGTTCAATCTTGATGTCCCTCTGACGACAAACAATCTGGCAGCTCACTTTCAGCACCCACGGCCAATATTTGTGGAAAGAATAAGTGGTCAGCATGCAATCCCTGGCAAGATACCATCTAGAAAAGAAGGTAAAGGTAAGGAAAGAGTTTTTTCACACTAGTACATTTTCCCTTTTTTTTTGGATGCGTACAACGTAGCACTGTCAGTGTTGAAAGGTTTGACATTTATGCACATAACGTCGTGAAAATTTATGTGAATGTTAAATCTTGCATAACCATGCAAGTTCATGCCCTTTTAGGGGCTTAAACAGTGTACTGAAATCTAAAAATATATCAAACCCGTTCATTTAGAATTATTTCTTTGATATATGTATATATATATTCTCTTTTGTTATCTATACTATAATAATTAAAGTCTTTTGCTTGCATATGTGTCGTCTTGTTAGCTCATTCATCTTGGTTAAAGTGAAAAGTTTCTCAGAAACGTGATGAGTGTCAGGTTGATCTCACTTCCTGGTCAACCTTTTGCCTTACTTGATATAGTAATAGTCAGTACATACTAGGTTGTCGACATGTCAGACCTCATATGATATAGATCGTAATTACGCAAACTGGATTGTGTGAAAATAAGCTGAAACAGACGTGTGAAATAACCTCTTTGCACTGGCTGTCATTGTTTGGCTCAACATGATCCTTTCTTATAATCTTAGAAATTAAAGTGAATTGGCATCTGTAATGCCATTGTTCGGCTCTTTACCGTACTACCAGAGCACATGAGTTCATTTCCTGTGTAGAAAAGTTGTTTTGTAGAGGATATAATTATCTTTCAGCTTGAATGCCATATCCCATTCAGTCTTGAGTTTGAAAACTATGAGGTAAACTTTTGATAGGTGAAATTATTGTCTTAGAAAATCGTTATATGTCAGACAAAAATGAGACTGAATGTGACTAAATATAGTATTATGGTTCTAACGTCTGTTTTAAACAACAGATGATCCAGGTGGGCAGGCTGGGCACAACTACTCTGTTTTGTCTGAAGATAAAATGGAGATGATGTCGCAGTTAGCAAGACGGGATTTACGAAACAGAAAATTACAAGCTGAGGTAAGTTTTCAGGAAATTTTTTTTTTAGGGTTTCTGCACATGCTTCTATGAAAGTGGCTATCAAACTGCAAAGATAGTGGCCTTGGATATATATGGGTGTAAATTTTGGCATCTAGGCTTCATATGGGGATATTGCTTACCAGTGTAGGCACTCCCCCCTCTGTTATATTCATCAAGCCTTGACCCTCCCCTTCCTTTTGTTCATATGTATGTGTAAGGCACTGGGCTGACAAGGTGTGTCGCCTCCTGCTGCTTATGTTATGATACTGTTAAACCAGATACACTGAAGAGATGTTGAATGTGAGGTCAAGCTAAGACATTGCAAGAGTCTAGAGAATGTAAGTTATGTGAGTTCAAGTATCAGACAACGGTATGTAGAAGAAAGTCTCTACAAGGATTGTTTTGGTTTTTCTGTTGCATTCAAGTGCTTGTACAACATATGAAGGATTTTGGGATGAAATACACTTATCTAACCAGCAAAAATAATTTTTAGAAAGCTGTGATTCTCTATTGACCACTGTTCTCTTGAAGGAAAAGTCGAAATTGAAGCAGTTTAATTTAGTGTAAAGTCATTGGTTACATCACACTTTGTAACAAATTATTTTAAAGCAGTAAATAGTCAAGATCCTTTGTCAGTAAGCTCTTCATACTGAATTAAGGGAATACAGTGCAAGAATAAAGTTGAAAGTCATATGGTGGTTTTGTTCTGTCGTGTGCTTGTAAAAACTGGGGTCCACTGAATAGATTGAAAGCAAGCAGAGAAGGTTTGAATGCAGATGTCTCAGAAGGAAACTGGGAGGGTGATACTAACAAGGAGTCAAGTGATAGCACTAATGTAAAATAAACCCTATAGTCTACAGTAGAATAAACGACAGAAGATGATAGAGATTGCTAAGCCGCATTCTCACATCAACAAATCTTGACACACTTTAATGTCTGACTTCAGCCATACAGGGGAGAAGAAAGAGAGGAAGAGCAAAAAATGTCAAGATTGTTGAGGATAAAAGCTGAGTTAGATTACTTTCCATAAGCAGAAAGCAAGTTATTTCCGAAAGAAAAATGTTTATTATGTCACTTTGATACATATCATTATCATCGATATTACTTAAGAAAACATGGACATCCATTTGATCTTGACTTATAGGGCAATTACAACTTATTTTAAAAAATCATTCATTATTCTTGGGCCTCCTATAATTTTCTTTTAATTTCGTTTACATCTGGATATTTTGATTTTTAAAATTTGTCTTTTTTCCAGCAGAACGGTAAAATTGTAGGTGGTGAGTCTCATAGCCCCACTGCCTCTCCTTCTCGTGCTCATCTGTATAAGAAAACGTCATGTTCCCGCCTCACTCGAGATCAGGGCAATAGATCAAAGCATCCATTGAGGGCCAGAGAAGCGGAGAGGAATCGAAGGCTGGGAGCTGTTCAGACTCCCCCTCCAAGGAAGCCAGTGCCTCGCTCTACCTATGCAGATGATTCTTTTGTTTCCACCAGAAACAGTAAGTCCAATTGTTGGTGTGGTTGCATTTGCACTGTTCATTCATTGAAAAATGTTAGCCTAACATATAACTTTATAACAAAGATTATGTGCAATGTGAGTTCAGGATTTGTTTCTGAACTATGGGCTTCGTAATGCAGAGAATAGATCTGGAATTCAAAAGATGTAATGTTCTGTAGGATCCGTGTGATAGTGTATCAAGAAGTGCTAAACCTGACAGCGATGGAATTTTTTTTTCTCTGAACCCCCCCCCCAACTTTCTCCTTTCACCTTTTGTTCTGGAAAAACAGTAGTTCAGAATTCATTTGTCAAAGAATTAGCCAGTAGATTGATAAAGTCATTGTTATCTGACTTCATCATCACTTCCATGACTCTGTGTTACCGTGTGACCTGTGTTGGTTATACTTTTTAGCGTTTTTAAAATTTAATTGTATAAACATGTAGCTTGCGCTGTTAATATTTGTTTAGGGTTTTTTCTCATACTTTCTCATGCTGATGCTGATTCTGAATAAATGGAATATGTTTTAATTTCTACAGCCTCTTTAGACCTGAGCAGGGATGCAGATGTGTACTTTCCTGTGAAGCCGTTTGTCCCAGAGGGCAGTGAGCCTGCCAAAGAAGACATCGTCAGGCTGCAGCAGGAATTGGAGGGATACTTACGTCTCATTGGCCATGTGCAGGAGAGAGCTATTGCAGGTTTGGAAATTCATGATTCACCCGGTCACTCCTTGAATCCTGCTATATATTATTTTATATTCCATTTTTTGGACTTTGTTCTCAGACCAAACTGAATTAGAAAGATTATTATTTTCGTTAATGACATGTTTTCCTCCATAATCATGGTTTTGTCACGCAAAGTTGATTTGTTTGCTTTTGCATTTATAACATTTCATTCATTGACCCACTAGATTCAAAACAAGTAGTTGATGGATTCTGTGGTGTGGTCTGCTCTTTCTGTTCCTTTTCATGGTTATCATTGTACATATCTGATCCAAGCAAAATGTGGCCATTATCATGTTGAAATAGCGTCCATAAACTTTAACTCTACAACAACTGCTCGCCTCGTCTGTCTTATGAAATGCTGTTTTCTTATGGGTTTTTTAACTAAAATATTTGCAGCATAAAAACTCAGCTTTTGTCCAACTCTGTTTTCAGATGGAAATACTAAATTCCTGCACCTTCCAGCAAAGGGCAAATCTAAGGATGGGTTTCTCGATCAGATAGAGGATCTTGATCGTGCTCGTGCCCGTGTTACTGAGCAGAACATACGATCAGCTCGCAACACCTACAACCTGCGACAAAAAGTGAAGCAGCTGCAGAGAGATTTGGCCCATGCAGATCTCAATAAACCACAGAAGAAGGTGGGTTATGACATATGTTTGGTTGTTTTCTTTTTTCTTTTTTTTTTTTTTTTTTTTTTTTTTTTTGAATTGCTTATAGGGTACAGTCATGATATTTATGTTGGTCTTAACTCTTTCCGGAGGTACTTTCTTTTTGGAGTCTAGACATAATTAACCTGTGGCTCATTTTGGCTATGCAGGTGGTGTACAAAATAACTTCATAGAAGCATAACCATCACTCCAAACGTAACATATGATATATCAAATTGAAGGAAATTGAATGAGGAATACATCCCAATATAAGACAAGGATTAATTTTGAACATAAGTATGCATTAGAAGGATTAGAAAAAGCGATGGTGATGAGAAAAATAAATTTTGACAGAAAAAATTACATTCACCAAACATGTGAAAGCAAACCAGCATAGCTATCTTTTCATATTCAGGCAGAAAGTATAACCCATAAATTTCTGAATTCACAGTTTTTTATTTGAAAGCAATATTCCAATTTTTGTTTGAGTTATGAAATTTATACTGAGTCCGGTTACATCGTTTTGATGATGCAAGACTGCAAGAACTAATTCACTCGTTTTTCCCTAAACCCACGCTTTGACAAAGTGAAACTAGATGTTTTTGTTTCCTAAATCCTTTCCGAGTTTTTCAATAGCAATAAAAAGTAATTATAAATGACGGATATATCGGCAATACGTCCGCAAGGGGTGTGGACTCGCGCCGATATATCAGCGATACGTCCGGAAAGAGTTAATATACTGTGGGCTGTTATAGCATGCCACTTGTGGGTTTATTCTTCTTTACCTTCCCTTTGTTGTTTAACTCTTTTTATCTGGGCTACGAGTGTACTCGTAACGAGGACCCGTCCGGGCCACAAGTAAACTCGGAACAGCGATACGGTCACATCAAACAGCTAGCTCTGCTTGTAATTACTAAAATACGCAAATTCGGCAATTCTAGCTCTGTCTGAATAGTTAAATTTTCCAATGAACAGCGGTTTCTTTGTTTTTGATGGGTGTAGAAGCTTGAATGATGTCTCGAAAATGCACGTTCACGACCAACGAAGTGCTTCTTGAAGTGGCGCTGGGTTGTGAGGGGGAATGAGACTAATTTGATGTAAGTGACTCTGAATCAAGTGCCGTAAATTCCGTTGTGGACGATAACAAACAGGAATTATACTCATGTAATAGCGATTCAGATCATGGTGAAGGGACCAGTACTGGAATTCGCGCAGTACCGATGAGTAGGTCTAGATCTATTAATCCAAGGGAATGTCATGGGCGCGGCAATCTGGGTCAAGTTAGAGGGTGGAATATACCTCAAAATCTACATGGTGCAATTGGTGTAATTTCTAACAACATACATTTACAAAAACTACTTTCAGTTTCTAACAATTGCCAAATTTCATTAAAACCTAAGTGTAAATGTAAGAAATACAGCACTTTGAAATATACACTCTGAATTCCGACTGGTATGGCGCGGCAGCCCCAGGACGGGTACAGAGTCCGTGGGGGTAAGGCCAGGATAAAAAGAGTTAAACCTCTCTGTCTTATTCCAAGCGCTAAATGACTGTCATCATGTTGATGTCAATGGGCTGCAAATAAGTTCTAGAATAAAAATTGGATTTTGTTTTGGTTATGGCTTAGGGTTTGGATTTTGTGTTTGTTGTGGCTTATAGTTTGTTTTTTTGTGTTGGTTATGGTGTACAGTTTTTGTACTTTTTGTAAATTCCTCATAGAAATGCTGAGAATATTTTGTTGCTAGTTTACAATAAGTTACTATAATGTGTTGATGACAAGGTCCAACACTCCGACAAATACCAAATTGCAAAATGGCGTTTGTTAGAGTGTTACATCTAGCCATCACTGTGGCCATCTGCCTCAAGAACTACTGTCCCAACAGAACCAGATCCTGGCTCAGGTGAACAGTGTCCACCGAGGAGCAGTCAAGTCCCTCCAGACATTCGTCAACCAACTGCCACACCAGGACCTGAGCTCCGGTCTTCCGTCACACTACCAGGAGTTATCCCTCCTGCTGCGGCAGCTCACAGCCCTCAACGCCCTCACTCAGCAGGGGAAGCAACTGCATGGAAAGTGCGAATTACTCACCTTGCTAGACAACATCGATGTAAGTCTGAATATTAAATTAAATTAGATTACATTCTTATTGATCCCAGAAGGGCAATTTGGTTTACAATGGCAAACCTACCTACCTACCTGGAATAAAGAAGATGGAGATTATGTCAGAGCTCTCGTTTTTCTGTGGACTCATGGAAGTTGATCGTTTCAACTCCTTCTCTCCTCTGGTTTTTGTCTAGGTCTTGTGTTTGTACTACAATATTTGTTAACTGTGATAGGTCATTGCATGTGCTTAACATCTCTTTCAAAGCGAAATAAGAGACGGGACCTCCGACTGTATCCTCCGTCTCAGAAGGTGGAGAGCCTTGAAAACACTTTGTTATACAACAGGTGTTTGTGTGAATTTCATAGTCTTTTGGCAATGATAACATTCGATCTACACCAATTCACTCAGCTCAATGCATTTTTTCATTCAAATTGATTTGTTGACTTCCAGAATTCACATGCAGAAATGGAACTTTATTTTTGATCCATTAATTTTCCCCAGACTTCGAATGCCAAATGGTGCTGTAAGCAGCAAAAGCAAAAAAATCCAGTCGAAGATAAAAATGATATGAAAGGGGCCAGCCGGCCGTGGGTCAGTGATACAAAGGTCGCTAAAGAGTTTGGGCAGCCGAAGATGAGGCAGTTTTCAGTGCCACAATCCAAGAAGGCACCAGTTACAAAACAAATTGTGTCTCGGGGGAGGCCAACGATGAGGGCTGTGGGCAAAGAGAACCGCAGAGTCGCTGATAATGGTGAGTGGAAATGTTTAAACTTGTCTTAGTTTGGTATCCTTTACTTGTTTCTCCCTAATGGAGCATAGGGTGCCAACAAACTCTCCCAAGTTCTCACGATCCTCTCCAGCTGCCCTGTCCTCCTTCCCTATTCATGCACATCGAGGTGCTAGGTATTCTTTGCTCCTCCTCTTCTCCAGACCTGGTGTCTCTCTCAGTCTCATTTGAAGACGTAGTGCGGTAGCATCCTCCTACTGATTAGTGATTAGCAGCTTATTGTCACTGTCCCAAGAAAAAAAATGAGCTTTACACAAAGGCTTAACAGGATAAATAAAAATCATTTGAGTTAGGCATTTTTCTTCCAACAGCAATGTTATATTTTTAGCTGTGTTTCTGTTGTTGTAGAGCGGAGAGCTATGCTGAAGGCCGGTGTTGCTGCCCTGGTGGGTCCCAGACCACGAAGCAGGTCAGTGGAGGAAAGAGCTGGTGGTCAGTCAGGAATGGCATGGGAAGTGGACATGCGATCTCAACCAGAGCTGCCTGATCACACCAAGGGTTATCTCCTCCCATCTGATCTCAGGGTAAGATTTTCATGCCTTTTTGGGTGCACTTAAGCCTATGCTTTTTAAAAAGTTTATTCTGTTTATGTTGAGGAGATGCAATTTAATTCTTTTTAAAATATAGTGTATATTTTACTACCAACTGTTGTTGTTTTTCCCCCCGTATAATTCACTGATGATAGTCTACATCTTTAGGTGTAACTTGACTGTAGTGATGAGCTACATTGATAGATGTAATAGGAAACAGTACTTAAAAATGACTGAAAACTTTTCATGTATAAAAGTAGATTTGAAATGAGGTAAAGCCCAGCTTTATCTAAACAACCCAAGTCCAAAAATGGGCCATTGGGAATTTTAGCTTTGGTCACTGGCACCATAACTGAGCAGAATACTAATTGAACCAACAGCTGACAGTGCACCCCTTCTGGTCTTGTTTCCTTATAAAAAAACATAATGTGTGTGTGGAAGGGGGGGGGGGTGTTAGTTTGAGACAGAAAAGACAAAAAGATAACCAGTAAAGACCAGAGAAAAAAATAGTTAATGAAGCAAGGATTTGACTATTGATGTGTGTTGGCTTTCCTTACAGGCCAAGAGAGAACGAGCTCAAAGGGCAGTAGAGATCTCCAACCAGCGACGACAGTTTGCCGCAGAGTTAAGGTCCCCAGGACGAGCTCCCCCTCACTTTGCCGAGTCCACCATTTCAGCAGCTTTGAAAGCTTCTCCAGGTCGTCCTACATCTGCTCCGGCCTCCCCAAAGTCAGTGTTATTCATTAATAAATTCTCATGGTGTTGATGTTCCAGTGTCTGTGGTTCAATGGTTAGGCTTTTTTCTTTAGTTCCAAATTAATTAAGGTACCCATAGTATGTTCAGGAGTCTTTCAAGGTAAAGCATGTTCTCATATAGCATGGTCAGAAGTCTGATTATGTCGTTTGCTGATCTCCTTGAAAACCCCTTGAATTTGAGGAACCTCCTTGAAAACTCCTTGAATTTTGACTGATCAGACAGGAAAGGGTGACTGCCAGACCCTGGGAATTTGAAGAAGAAAAAAATCGCCGAGACTCGGAAATGCCCTGGGAACTTGAAAAAATCTGTAAATTGCCCCTGGAAAGACCCGGAAAAAATAAATAAAAGTTCTTTAGTTCATATTTGCTGGTCGCGATTGTGTATATATTAATTTGGCTTTTCGCGGTCTGAGAGTACGTTTCATGCGAACAGGCGGATATGGTGGCAAGCAGAAGTGTATGTGTGATACCGAAGCTCGATCGGGAAATCAAGATCTACTTTCACTTTCGTTACCACCCTGAAATTTGCTGGTAGTCTTGTAGTCTGATAACGCAAAATTTGTAACGTACAGGTTGTGCTTTACAAACGCTGAGCCGCCATGAAAATAAATCTTTTGTTCTGTGCTTTCACTTGTGGAAAAAAAAAAGAAAGAAAAGGAAAGTTATACAAGCTTCTTGTCGGGCTCGCCATCGTGACCGGTCAGTGAACCTGTACGTTCCATACATTTTTTTTTGCCGGCGATGGTTGGGTCAGCAAAGTTCATTCAAAGTCTGAGCGCTGCGAAGTCTAGGGCTCCGGAATGGGGGGATTATTTTATTTTTTTTAAAGACGCATGCAGGGGAGGGGGGATGGGGTGGAAGGCAACACCGGATGAGAAAAACTGAACTTTGAGGCAGATTTAAGTATTTAGAATTTTGATTACTACTATATCTAGATCTAGAGCTCTCTGCAAAGCGCGCGTTTGTTCACGCCTTGTGTGGAATCGGGATCTGTCATACTCAAACCTTGTAAGCCGTGTGTTTGTAACTAAAGGGTTCCCGTTTCACATAGTAAATTACATGTATTGTATATTCTATACTCTAGCTTTCTGTTCAAGATTTGCAGATTTTCAGTGTCACTGCATCTTGCCCTCCCACAGTTCTTACACCTCTCACACTGAATAGGTCTACTTGAGCCATTCAAGTTATTACTCTATTTTGAGTTTGAGCAATAATTTTTGTCTTTCACGTTTATTGTATAAACTTGACACCCAAACTGGTTCTTGACAGTTGATATTCTGATTCTAGGCCTTTTCTCAGGCTCAAAACAAGATTTGTTTTTATATAGTTTATATATATGCGAATATGATGAGGGGAAAATATAAATAAGTAAGAACAGACTGAAATACCTAAGTCACACTATATCCCAGTGCCACACTGACATGTTGTTATTCAATTATGAAAAAAAAAAGTAAATTGAATACTGTATTATTTTATAGTGACAGAGGGGAAAGCAGACTTTTAAGCATGATTATATTAGTCTACTACACCTTATCTGTGTTTTATAAAACCAAGGAAAGAAATTCTGAATGTTTAAATATGTAAAAACTGAATTAAAATTAATTTTTTTAAAGTGATCTAAATTACTGATTTTTATTTTAAAAATCAAGTTGATTTACTTCACTTTACTTTACTGGATATAATGTACCTTCATGTGCGCGCGCACGTGTGTGTGCATATTATATATAATATATAAATGGAACATGCACTGCCATTGTCATGTAACATACATGCCCGTGGAAAACGGATGAGGCCCCCCCCCCCACCCAGGAAAATTGAGAAGCCGGGTTGGCAGTCACCCTGAGAGTTTTTGTAAGAAAATCGAAACTATTATTCCTTTCGGACAAGTGTAGGCCTATCGATAGGCTTTCATCGTGAATTTCTTGACCAAATCTCCTTGAATTTTTAAAATGTCTTCTTGACTTTGGTGGGAAGTTCATGGCAGGAACCCTGTCTCCTGAAGTATGATGTGGAGTCTTTTTAAGTGGAGGTTGCTCTCTTATAGTATAAACAGAAGTCTTATTATTAGGTCATGGTTGCTTCCCTAAAGCCAGACTTTTCCCTTTTTTTTCTCAGAAGAAAAGAAGTGAACTTTGACCTGGAGGAAAAATCTCCTGTGCCATGGATTCCTGCTGGATCAGGCTCAGGGAAGAGGAAACCTAGGTCAAGGTCACTGAGCCCTGGCTACAGTCCGTTCTACATCCGTGACCTGGACAGAGATGATGTCAGGTAGGGGGGAGCAGTCGAAGAAATTTATTGTTTTGTATATACTTTGTGGTAGCATTAGACTGGAGTGCCGCCGTTCCTCCAAGAAATTTCCAGATCAGTAGAAATTTTTTTATATTTGAAATTTTTCATATGATAGTTTATATCCTGCTAAATAGATTTTATGTCAAGATTTTCTCGTATATATTAGTCCCAGGAGATCTCTAAAATATAGTCTAGCACGCACATTGTGAACATGCACATTACAAACAGATTTTCAGATCGTAAATATCTTCTCTATACACGTATATTCTTTATATTAAAAACATGTACATAGAGAAATTCGTACTTATCACTAAGGTTTTGGCGTCCCGCCGATTTTGCTATATTGTGTTCCAGAATGAAAATTTCTACTAATTTCTAGTTGGAAATTAATTACTGAATGTGTGTGTGTGACAATAGGTTGTTTTGGTCTGATGCGTTTTTGTTGAATCATCAAAATTATTATATTATTTATTATTTGGAAATAAGAGCCTGTAGTGTTGAATTCTGGAATAGATACCACACATCTATTACTGATTTGAAAATAGACTTATTTTTGTAATTAGAGTGGATTTATAATTTTTATAAAAACTTGACGACATGATATGTATCTTAATTTCGGCATATACCTAAGTTGGATAAAGTTCTTCATAACCACTTGATATTTTATTTGTTAACAATTGGGATACAGCTAGTTGGTCTTGGAAACTGATAGCAACATATCATTGCTGTCGCCAAAAAATGAGCAACTCAGTTTGATTGTGCTTACAGGTAAAAGAAAAATTGTTGATTTGAGTTACTTAATTTTGTAGCAACAGCAATGATGTCTGTGTTGTATGTGAAAAAGTGCATTGAGTTTTAAAGACATAGGTAGAGACCACCATAGATTGTGTTATAATGTGCCTGTCTGGTTTTTACAGCTATTTGATTGCTCCTTGCTGAGAGCGGCTTATAGATGTTTTAAACTGGGAAGAGAGGCAGAAACCTTGTGGAGAGGACGTTTTGTGTGAACAGTTTTGACTTTTTGTTTTTTACATTGCTATTTATTTTGAGTAGTGTATTTGTGGGCAGTTGATGGATCAAACATTTATCGTCCTTATCTCTCCTCCTTTTTGTGTATGTTATTCTCTTGTAACACATCTATTCTTTGGCTCTTATATGACCTTATTGTGTTGCAAGTGCCGTAAAACTCTTACTAAAACTAAAACTAAACTCTTACTAAAAATAAACTGAGTTGTGTATTTTAGCACATAATTGTATCCTTTTTTGTGTCTTTTTATATGCAGAAATGTCTTTCCGGGTCACCGCTCTCTTAGGGTAAGTTTATAGATTTTGATGCTTATATTAATATATATTTTTTAGGCTGGTTCTAGCCACCCGATCTGGGGTGGATAGCGTTTTGCTACTAACACTTTGCTGCCTCAAGGCTCATGTAGTAAAAACTCTTGCCATCAAAGGAAAAGGTATTTTGGGAAAAATCCAAAGAAACTGGGTGGTAGACATTGCCGACTGGCGAGATGAGGCGACAAAGTGTTAAACGATTTCAGCCGATTAGCCTGACGCTACTGGCCGGTGGGGATTTCAACGACCTCGGATGGCTAGCATTTTTCTGCCCACCCGGAGCCAACCACCTAGATCTAGTACTAGGTGGCGTAAACACGGCCTTGCGACCTTCCGAGCGACATGAAACTATAGAGAGCACCTAGGGCACCTCTGTGATTGGCCCAAATATAGGTGACATATTTTCTCCATCCATTTTTGTTGTCTTCCGGCGTTGTGATGTTATATGTTATCAAAGATTCTCTACTACCAAGATGTTTCTATCGCCCTATCTCGCCTCCTAGCGAGACTTTGGCGCGACCTTGTCTAAGCGCGTGACGGCCTGTGATACAAGTGTAAACAAACGTTCCAGCGCTGAGTTGAAAGCGAGCAGGCAGAGAGAGAAAGAAAGAGAGGGGAGTGGGTGGGGGAGAGAGAGAAAGAGAGAGAGAGAGTGAGAACTCGGAATATGCACAGAAATCCCCACTGGCCAGAAGCGTCAGGGTAATTGACCAAATTCGTTCATGTTGCAAAACGCTAGCCTCCCCAGATCGGGCGGCTAGCCACTCCGAGTTTTTTTATTGGTCCTGTATGGTGGGCTTCTGTAGGGGATACGCTTACCATTCCCCATATTCCCCATCTTACCCCAAAAAATTTTTTCTAACTTGTTAAGAGGTGGGACCTTCAAATTTTATTTCAATCTCCATGTAGGCTGAGATCCTTAAACTTAAAAACTCCACAAACAATGCAAGTTTAAGAAATCCCTTTGGGGATTTGAGCTGGGATCATCTGCACCATTGCTTAGTAGAATACAGCTAAAGTATTCCATAATGGGACTTTTGTATATATTGGATTGATGAATAGTTGTGTCTTGTCTTTCAGACTGGGGATACAGAAAGGAAAGGGGCTGTACAGGACTATGGCTATCGGTCTTTACCTTCGCACAATCAGTTACGGTAAGTTCTTTCCCTTTGGTATATGTTCTTTTTTGTAAAGTGGGTTTGAGATTGGTTTTTTAAAGAGAAAAGTATAGTCAAATGTTTCTACAGTTTGTATAAATTGGACAGACATTTTACAAGTTGTATAGTTATGTTGTTGCTGCGAGAGATCCAGCATCGGGGGGATTCTCTCCCTTCATCCAGGCAAAGTGAAGATTGTATATTTCACTCTTCTGTTTGAGATCTGTGAAGAATGTCTGTAAATGTAGATTGCGACTTTTGGGATTTTTTTTTCATTTTTGATTTAATGTTTAGAAATGAACGTATCTTGTATGCAAAGAGTAGATTATTTCAAAATAATTTTTTTATTGAAAAGGGAAAGTAAGCATTTTTATCACATGTGTATAGAAGCTTGTGGAAAGTCAAAGGCACTTTTTACAGAAAGTGAGCCTTCCTTGGTACGTTATAGTAGGCGATATAGGTTGGGTATAACTATTGTGCCATTTGTGTCAGTGTCTGGCTGGGGAAATGAAGAAATTAAATTTATAGAGGACAGAGCTGTCTAGCAAGCAATGGTAAAGCTGAGTCAGTCTGAGGCTGAAAATGCTGGCTACACACTACTCCCAAGATTAGTGGATAAGACTTGTAGAAGATTGGGCTGCAGCCCTAACGTGATAAAATCTTTTGACCCCAAAAATTGCCAGATTGCATAATAATTCCGTCCTTTTCATATTAGCTTTTATTTTTATTTTAGGTCCAACCAAGTGTCAGACTCCTTGCTCGACGACCTGGAGGCGCGCCTGTACAATCGTTTGGCTGGGGTGGAAGAGACATCATCTCACTATCCACCTGCCGTAAGTGTTATATGTGTCAGAGATAGGGGGGGGGGGGGTCAATGTGGGCTTATAACATGATACATCTTGTGCCTAATTTTTATTTCCAAGGAGAATTATGTTAAGATTTTGTTGTATAAACTTCTAGTGAAGGAGAAGTTGGGATTTTGAAAGGCACAAGAAGCAAGTTCTGTCGTGCTTACTTTGAGGGAAAGGCACAAGAAGCCAAATATTGAAATGTCATTTAAAGTTTGAACTTGTCTTCCTAGTAATAGCGGTTGGACAGCCTTCTTTAATTGAGATGTGGAGTGATTGTCAGGGTCTTCACTGTTGCACACGCAAGATGTGAGTTAGATTCCCCGACCTGGAAGTTATTTTATTGGGTAATTATATGTGAGCAACCTACTTAGAGAACCTAGACAGATGAGTAACGGGAAAATATCAGGTAGCGTAGCTTTTTTAACAGCATTCGAGCAAAGGAACGAATGGAGAACCTCGATCTCCTATGTCTGCCGCAGATCTGGCACTTGATGATGATGATGATCTGCTTTCGACTTGTAGGATGTAGTATGCCACCCCGCCCTGGTTGACACTGACAGGCAGGATCAAACAGCCTACTTCCTGATTGATCTTAATGTTTTAATGGGAGTGTGAAACAAGTTACATTCTTTGCAAGTATAGGTACTGGGCTCAGCCACTTTGTGATAACACTCGCTGAGCTAGTGGTTAGTTGGTCGGCACTCTTGTGTGGTTTGCTCCTTCTTTCCCAAAGTCCTTTTCTCTCTTTCTTCTTTTGTTTGTGTGTTACTCGCTAGACACACCTGTCATCTTCAGCACTTGTATGACCTGTTCTGCAAGTGCCATAAAATCTTGTTAAAACTAAAAATAAAACTCACCAAATAGAGTAGTTTGGCACTGCACAAGATATTTTTTTCTGTTTTGATGTTTCTTACTGTTTATGGACAGTGACACTGGAAGGTAGTCCTTTTTTGTATGTGTCACAGGTTGGCATTCTTTCTTGCTGCCTTTCTGATCTTTCAGCAGACATATATTCATGACAGTAACTTTATTTGTAAAAAATTTATGACTCTTTAAATTTAGCAAAAAGTTGTAAAGCTACAATAAAGGCATTGAAGCCAAATTTGAAGTGTCATGGCTTATATATTCTTCTCTGAGAGATATCACATGTATTTGTGTCGTGAACTTTTGTTTTTTACTGGACTTAACTGGAGTTTTTATCGTTATGATCAGGGCAAAATGTGGCAGAGAGATGATTCCACCATTGACTTGACCGATGGTGAGTTTGAGGACAGTGGTGACCTTGACATTACTGACCTGGCTGACCCGGGAGAGGGGCTCCGAAGGGAAGCTGTGTCCATGATGGATGCTCCTACTCTGGAGAATGTGAAGTTGAGGCTAGCCGAGATGCAGGTAGAAGATCGTTTGATTTCTCTTTGTCTTACTCTCTGCTATTGGTAATGCCTTATTGTTAGGAAAATTGGTAATTTTGGTGAAGAGCTTTTGGTGCCTAAATGGGACCCTGAACTGAATGGAAGTAATATCAGAGATGTTTGGTGCCTATTGGCCTAATTTGATCCTGCTCCACATCCACCCTGTTTCCGAAGGTCAGATCATGGACCATAATCTTCTTTGTCATGCGATGATGTAAATTTAGCAAAGCAATGAAAAGGATATATGAAAAACTTTTTAGATATTCACAGTAAAAATTACGGGATCGGATAGACTTCTTCTGTCTCCTATACAATAATCTGAGGTGGAGGAGAAACTGGTATATCTTATTTTGTTTGGGATCCCTCTTTTCTATCTGCTAGTTATTTTGGTCATTTCTAAACACAGAGAGGATCATTGATGTATCAGCATATTGACAGTATAGTATATGTTGTTCTCATGAATTCAAATTTGTTTTTAATGAACTTCCTTCCTGTGAACCCACAGAGGGAGCAGAGAGAGATCCGTCAGAGGTGGTCTACACTCAAATTCACAGAGACCAAGCGAAGCTCCCAGAGATTCACACAAAGTCAGTTTGGTTTTTATTTTATGGAATGTTGCTTTCTTCTTTTTTTTTCTTTTTTTTTCCACATATCTTAATTTTGAGTCAAAGTAGAGAATATGTCTTGCTTTGTGTGGAACTAATTAATAGACTATTATAACTGAACAAAGCAGTAGTGAAATTATTCTGTTCTGTGGGGCAGGCCTATATCTTTTCATCACACGAAGTTGAGGTTGTGGGTGGTTTAACTCACTTACTACTGGGCCTTTTGACAAGTCACAAGCGTTGAAGACTGGCGTTTTTGGGCGTATTTCTATAAATCTCTGCAACTCTCAAAATTGCCCTATTGTAATTATTTTTTGACACAGTAAATTAACATTCAAGCTTAATCTAATACAAAATACTAAAGTTGTCTAAGACTAATACTTTAATTTGTATGATTTTTTAAAAATTGGCATGAATTTGATTTTCCGAAAAATTTCCAGAGACGTGACAGGTAGAATGAAATTCACAACAACAAAAATAAAAGTTCAAAGTGTTCTGTTTTCATTTGTATGCATGTGTGAGTGTTTGGTGAAAATATAAAAGTTGATCTGTGCGTTGATTCAGACCCATGAACTGTATGACATGAGACGGATACGGCACGACGTTTTGATTTCGTTGCGCGGACAACAACACCAGTACTAGTGCTAGATCTAGCCCTAGAACTACGGCTCGGGCCATGTTCGGGTACATATCCAGGATCCTAATTATCAGACACATCATATTCTGAGACACAAGAACTAGTAAAACGTACAGAAGTATCGAAAACGGCGAAATTATGTGATTCTTGTTCATGCGACTTCTTCGACTGTTACTACGACGCAACTGTCGGATTACTATCAGCTGTGTAGTAAAAAACAAAGCGCGAGTTTCGGTCAGTTCAACCCCAGTTGGGGTCACTGTCCTTCACCTTCAATAACTTAAAAACAACAGGCTCCAGAGATACGAAGTCTAAAGTAGCTCAGGCTTGGCCAAACAAGGGTACGAGGCGGGTCTCGCGGTCCGTTCGTGATTTGTACAGGGAAAAAAAATTTCCAAAGTTGGTCACGCAGGGCTCGTAAGAACCGTCATGAGCGTCGTGGCGGGGGTCACGCAACTGTTGTGTGAACCGTCTGAAGTGAGTTAAAAGGGTAACTGCAAGGTCCTGCTTCTTTTCTTTCTCTGTTGCTTCTGTCCGTCTGTCGGTCTTACTTTTTTCCCACCCTAGATAACGGCCACTCTGTCAATATGATCCACTTTACATAAAAATCTCTCTCCACGGAATGTTTACTGATGGCGTTCTGTACAATGTTCAACACGTCTCTCTGTGCAGGTGAAGTCCGCAATGAAGAGCCCCTGCCACCACCAGCTATTGAGGTGACTCGAATGACCAGATCAGAGAGACCAGTTCAGCTACAAGGGTAAGGAGCTAGATCAACGATTTATGTTTTCTTTTATTGACAAGCAGTTTATTTAAATGCTGGCTGTGTGATATAAATGAAATTATACAAGACTGAACCCTTTTGACTCTGGTAAGTCACTTGCTGGCACACTGTTTATAGACTGCAGAGACTGGCTGGGTTTGAAGGGACTGGTCGTGCTTAGGCAAAGATAACAGTGCTGAGAAGAATTTTGCAAGAAAAGAGTCCTCAGATTCTCACTGAAAATTATTTTATGTGACCACAAGTTTTGTTAATTAAGTTAATATAGTTTCTATTAATACGATTATGTAAAATTTCATTGCCTCGAGTGTCTTGAATGTCATATGTACAGAGAGCTGTCCGAACTCACATTCTCTTATCCTCTTCTTTCCCCTTCTCTCTTTTCCAGACCTGTCAACAAGGACTGGGTGGAAGAACCGTTGCTCTTCACAAAATCCTCAGCAGTGACTCGTGTGCAATTCCATCACACAGTGACTGGCGGAGCTAAGAATGACCTTGGTCTTCAGAGGTCACTCGTTGTGCCCGGAGGCTGTCGAGCAAAAAAACTGCTGACCATGAAGCAGACGGCAGTGGAGAGAATCGCTGCAGATCGTGACCGCTACGAGAGTTACCTAAGGAAACATTCACATCATCCGACTGGAAAGTTTGATCCATGGATGTTAATGGAAGAGTATGTGGTGGCTCCCTTGCCTTTCTGTGTTCTAAGAACAGACTTTGTTTTGTGTTAGGGGTGTCAGGGATGTTCTGGACTTTAATCGTGTTAAGTGAAAGTAACCAGAGAGGTTTATTGACATTGTTCATGTTGGAAAACAACACCTTGTGCCTCTGACCTAAATGGGGGGGGGGGGGGGGCAGGAAGGTCAAGAGACAAAATCCTAGATATACTGGCTTGGGGGGGGGGGGGGAGTATTTGGATTTTGGATTTACTCTGTGTAACGAATTTTCTACAGAATTTCAGATGAAATTAATTTACTGAGTCCTGACCAGTACTAAATCTCATAAATTGACCATTTTCACACTTTTTAAAAAAATTTCAGGATTGAAAATTTTCAGCTATTGGCTTAATTTTTGGCTCAGGTGATGATACATATCTTATCTTTATAATACTTTTAATTTTAGTAAGTTATCTGTAAAACTTTTTTTTTTCCACAGCCTCAAAATACCCCACTCTTTTCAATATCAGAAAACTTTTCTCTTCACTAAAACTAAATGGGACAGAAAATAACGCTAAACATTACTCATTGCAACGCAAAAATATGAATACCAGATCTAGATATCTATACTTTATTTCAGTATGATTAATATGACACTGTCTTTAAAAGTTATCAGACATCTTTAGATCTACTATTTTTTTTATAATAAGCTAAGTGAAAAAAGTAGGTCTCTAAAGTTAAAGTAGTTTATAACTAAACTTCTTCCATATTTTGGTAATCTGCATTTCAGGTTAGGAAAATGATTCAAATAAAAATTTGTACAAAAATACTCATCTGAAAAAAAAAAAGCAAAATGCCAGGGTGTAGCAGATATCCCATCTATGTCGGGGACCAGAGCTCAAGGAGTTAAAACCTAAAAACCAATTCCCCCACCTATCTGTAATATTCAAATTTATTTACATCATGACATTTTCAACATGGAATTTTTGCTGTTTTCTATCTCCTGCAGGATTTCAGATGAGATTTTCTCTGAGTGCCTTCAAGAAGTTGCCGGTGAGGTGGAGCAGATCAATGAGGAAATAGCCAATCACATGTACAAGTCAGAGTTCATGGTGGACAAGAGCCAATCAGAGAGCATCATGCCTGAGCCCAGTTACTTCCCTCTGGAACAGCCTGTGGCTGAGGAAGAGAACTTCTTCCCCGTGCAGGAGACCCGTTCAGATGGGATCATGAAGGAGAGGGCAGAGAGTATCCATCATCGTCTCCAAACCCAGCAGGAAGAGGAAGCAAGAAAAGTATTTATGGACAAAGGGGGCGATAGGTTGGTCGGGGCTGGTGACACGATGGCCTTGAACCTGGACAAACTCTCGGAGGAGAGGGATTCGTCCGTGGAGAGGAAGCTGAGCCCGGAGAGAAAGGGTGGGGGTTCATCAGCCGGCCAGAGCCCGGTTCACACGGGGTCAGCTAGACCTTCGCCGAACCTTTCGGCCCGTGAACCTTTCTTGGATGATGTGTCACAGTTTGTGAGTCGAGGACATGATGAGAGTGGCTCAGCTGGTGATGGTGCGGACAGAAGGCTCGATGACGGGCAGCAAGAGAAAGATGATGACGAGTATACCGAGGAGACAGACCAACAAGACGAAGATGAGGAGGATGATGATGATGATGATGATTATTCAGATGATAATTTTGAAGATGTCAGTGATGTGGACATAGGATAGATATTGTTTTTACACACCGTTTTTATATATAGGCCTAGCTTTTATTTTGATAAATATAAAGTCCTCTTTCATTTTCCTGAGCCATACTATAGATGTACATTTACCTGTTGATACCTAACGGAAGAATGAAGCCACTTTTTAATGCTGTAAATGACACCCTCAAAGGTGTTATCTTTTTGGTGTTGGAGTCTCTTGTCTCCTCTTGCATTTCAAAGTCCGACACTGTGTGACATTGTGAGAGCACATCTTTGTCTTTTTAAAAATATTCCAGCACACAAAAGAGTATTAAAATTGTACTTACTATTCAATATTTATTGTGTTAACTAATATCATCTTTAAGTGCAGGAAGTATGCTCTATGTATTATGTATATATGTAAAAAGCGCACAATATATCTATCTCTGCCCCAAGTCTCAACGACCAGAAACACCGGTGGCGCACAATCAGACCCATCCAGGCACACTTGTTAGCTGTAGCACCGGTGTTGTAAGGTCTTTTCTCAGAACTGCAAGTCTGCACTGTGTCTTGAAGAAATATTCACAGACACATGATTTATTGTTATACAAAAATTGTATTCAGGGATGCCACTTTTCCGCTTTTTTCCGGTATTTTGATCCTGATCCGCTTTTCCGTTATTGAGGTCGAGATACAATCTATAGTTGAAAAAAAACATGTAATCTATTTTTCTTTAAATGTTTGTCATTTCTCTCTATGTACACCCATTGCTTATGTTTGTCATTTTTCTATGTAGCCTACACCCTTTCAGCTCTTTAAAAAAAAGTTTAGTGGCATCCCTGTGTATTTATGTATATCATATTCATAGTATACATGTAGATGTACTGCAATTGAACTGAAAAACCTAATATCTGACAAAATCACATCTTGTTGCAAATGGGTTGGAAAAAAAAGATATAATTCTTGTTCAAATCTCCAGTCTCCATAATTTTATTTTTTTAAAGTAGAGATATCGATATCAAAGTACAAAAGAAAGATGTCCATTGTTTCACTTTAATTGAAACTCTAAATCAATCTTTAAAAACCTAGATTTGTATGCACTTCATTTTTCCTTCAAATGACAATGCCGGGGCTCTCGTGGTCTAGAGGTTAAGGTGTTCGCCTCTCATTCACAGGTCCCAGGTTCGAATCAGGATAGCGACGTAAAATTTTCTTCTCTAAATTGTTATCCTTTCACACCCTTTCCTGATCTCTGTGTTCTATCACCTGCTTTTGTCTCCACTTTTGCCCCCACCCCCTCACTTCCTTTGCCCCCCACCTCTGGGCTCCTGACTCTGCAGCCTTTCTACTGCTACTCCTTGGCTCCTTCTTACTGCTGTCTTTCAGCTACGCCCCTGATCTTATGGTAGGAAAGATCTACACCTAGCCTTCTCGGACAAGGGCGAAAAATCTTGGGAGATCCCATGTGCAAGTTGTGCACGTTGAAGATCCCTTGGTCTTCCAAAATCGATAAGAGTAGGCTTCGCCGCCACCTGGGCAAAATTCAAAATTTCCTACCAACTGAAAATGTTTGATGTGTCCTGCGCGCTTACATGACCTTATGCAGTTGCGAGCGACATAAAACACTTACCAAAAAATTTGTTTGTTTAAATGACAATACATGTGATCTTGTATTGTCAAAGAAAGAATTACTTCACTTTGCGATCTAGATTGTATATATAGGTGCTGCTTTAGCTCTTATATCTATTGTATTCAAAGCTTCTGGATGTGCACTCACTTGTACTTTCTATGAAAAGACAAGAAGTGTTGATGCTGATTACAAGCAAGCCTCCCATATTTTGTTGTGTGTAATATATGGATGTCTGTGAAATTGGCCTGTAATGTGCTGAAGAGTATGATTAAAGAGACTTTATGTTCTATTTATTAAAACTTAAGTTTCTGTTTCACAGTTATGAAAAATCTACTGCATATATACTTTGTTCAAAAGCATGAGTGTCACATAGCCGGGCTCAGGAGTCAGTTGGTTTCCACTGTCTGAGTTGAAGGGATGCCACTCTACACACCCTACGTCGGTGATCAAGTTATATATCTGCTGGTAGTAGACTATGGGCTACTGGAATCCTCCCTCCTCCCCCCCTGGAGATTTTTGCTCACTATGATTTTCTGAAAGAGTACACACAGGACTATGCACCCAAAAAAAAGTTTGCTACAAAATAATGGCAATCTGCAGAGTTATTGCCCCTGAATTGTCGAAAATTGAGAATATTAACTTTTTTTTTAAATTCCTTTTTTTAGTTGGTACTCTGATTTTCTTTTAATTGAGACTAAACTTGGTGCTATAGGTTAAGAAAAACAGTTATATTGAACATTTTGTGGTAGTTATTTACATAGCGTATAGAGAAAAAAAAATGTTTTAAGTCCGTTTTCTCTAAAAATTGAAAACAGCCGCTCAAAGTTAGCGTAATATACTCCCTGCTAGGTATTACCACAACAAAGGGAAAGCTACACATGCAAAAAATTTAGTTCAACAGAAAATCAGCACAATGCAGGGTTACAGACAGCCCTTAGCAATGCAGATAACCATTGGCTATTATATGTGTACCTGATGTATTATAATAATTATTTCGAACAAAGAAATGTATATAATTGAGAAAAAGACCATACCATCTAGAAATTGACTTGCATAGGGCATATGTAACAGAAGTCAGTAGCTTGGGTGCTGGTTATCCAAATTTTATACTGTAGGTCAGTTGGTGTTGTATAAGTCTTATTTAGTGCACTAAAAAAAAACCCCAACCCAAGTCACATTACTGTAGAAAATTACAACCTAGTTAAGGGCATTCTCCAATCCCCTTCCTACAATCTATATTACCTGCTGTTTTATCAGTTCAGGGGAAACACATGGATGTAACCCAAGCAAAATACTTATTACCAGCTGTTTTTAGAAATTTCAGGCTTGCTAGAAAATAGAAAAAGATTTCTTTTCCTACTTATTTTCAGCTCAACATGTGTCTACAGGTTTCAACAAATCCTCACCCAACTCTGGTAGATATATACTCAGGTTTCAACACTTTGGCAGATTCAATAGAATCAGGTTTTTTGAAAACTTCATTACTGTATTTGCTAATCCAAGGCTTAATACACAAATGATACCGCATTTTGTAAAAATATTAAATTTTATTATCACCATTGAAGGAAAAAATGCACAAATCAGAATACACATATTAAAAACAAAAATGTTAAAGACAACTTAAAATATTTTGACAACAGTAAACAACATACTGATAAATATAGATAAATGTGATGATTGTAACTGTATAGAAGAACCTGTCAAAATGAGCCATGTCACTGAACATGAAACTGTCAAACTGCCTAGAGATGCAAAACTTGCGAGATATATCGCTGGCCATGTGATACAATGTCACAACCCAAAAATTTAGAAAAAAAATTTTTTATTACTGTTTTTTAATCTATGGTATCGGTTGCATGTGCTCAAGAAATATTTGGTCGAAATTCAAATTCTAAATGTTGAAAAAAGCAAGAAAACAATGTGCCATGCCCGCAGGTCGTCAAATTACCTGTGATCCATGATCACAAGCTACGCTCTGCTGGGCAGCATCGATAAGTACTTTATGACCACCTTCATGACTATACGGTTCAGTGGGGAAAGCCTGCGTCTAAGAAACATTTATGATGTTGTCTCTTAGATGTGCTGAAAATATGAATACATTTGGGCCAGCTAATGTAGACAAAAGCGTAATAATTTATTGCACTATTAACACTTCTGAAGGGAGTCCCGATGCTGAGTGGGAGAGGCTGAATTTATTATGGGCTTTCACATGACCCATTAAAGGAAAAGATACTGTCAAACTGTCTCATCGTTACATTATTGCACGGTTCAGTCTCATCCACTTGAATTTCTCCATAGTCTTGGTTTTTTAAATTTTCGACTTCGTAATTGACTTCGAAACTCCGCCAGGAAGTGGGGTTAAAACAAACCAAAAATGTCGGTTTGAAAAGACAAATTAAAAAGCTTTGATCCCAAATTTTAGGGCCGGGGAGAGGAGGTAGCAATTTGACTGATTAGTAGCCATCGCCTTCCCGTAGCAAAAGCAGAAAGAACCTATTCGACCCAAGAAACAACAAATCATTGAGGTCTACTTCACACCCTGACAGAGCAGAAGAGTCCAACATATTCTTGAATGAACAATTTCTGCACAGTTTCCCAAAGGTTACCAGTGATTATTGCAAACAGTTCCTCGAAGTTGTACAGTAGAACACGGCTATAGCGGGACATTTTGTTTCAGAAGAAAAATCCTGCTGTAAGCGAGTTCCCGCTGTCGGAATGCAAAGGGGAAATTACTGAAATATTTCTACAAATCCACATGAATACCTCCCTTCCATATTCAATAAAATGTGCGCATTTGATTAGTCTTCCTTTTCTTGTCAACTTAATTGATTATCTCGGCTTTTAATTCGAGTGAGAAGCATTTCCTTTTGTTCTTCTTGGAAGCCATCTTTTCCTCTGTTTCATAGCTTGTGCCGTCTATCATACTCGTACCAGAAGGGCAACTGTAGAACTGCTGAAGTGGATGCGTGCGTATGCCTATGAGCATCAGCAATCGCAATTCAATGAATCAGGAATCACACACTACACGCTCCCCTCTTCTTTTACTATTTGGTCTAGCCTAGGGCTATGGCCTAAAAACTCTCATACTGAGCGTCAAAGCTCCGACACATCACTTTTGGAGAGGCTCACGCAACGCGTCTCTCCGCACTAACTCTTTCTGCCGCCTGCCCCACCTCACTCATCACTGGACTGGCCAATCACAACGCGGCACCGCTGACTGCCTGTTTGGAGCCCGCTTACAGTTTACAGCCCCCCAACCCTCTCCCCCCCAGCTGGAGCTCGCTTGATCTCCCACTGTACCCGAGTTCGGGCCTTTCCTTGCCCTGCTAAACCCGAGCACAGGTAATTGAGTTCACATGGAGAAAAAAAAAGGGGGATTCGGTAACGTCCCGCTGTAGGGATGGTCCCGCTGTAGGGGTTGCCGCTGTAGTCGTGTTCTTCTACTGTATTTGGAACCAACATTTAAAAGTTTGATCGACTTTATGTAACAAGATGTGTAGAGAGAAAAAGACCTACACGGGCTCACCATATTCAGGAAAGATTTTAACCAAAACAATTTTGTGTTTTTCCAGCCAGAAAAAAACATTTGCGTTGGGTACCAAACAGGCAATGTAACAAAAGGTGTGTGGGTAGTATCACAAAGAAAGTAAAGAGGCAGCGAGGCTAGAGAAAGAAATAGATTAAAAGATAGCAGTGGAGTCAGCGGAGACCAAAACAAAGGAAACGTCGGACAGAGCGGGCATGTCTGCATGGGTCTTCAACATGTCCTGTGCCCCATGCTCAAGGCCTCCGCTCTGTAGGCCCTACTATAGAACAAAGCTTGCCGTGCATAACTTTACTGTCAACAATATAACAACCCAGGATGTGAAATGTTATGTCTGGCATGAGGTTGAAGATGGACTAACTTCTGACGAATTTTCCTCTTGCATCGTAGACTATATACGAGACCTCGCCAAATCCTATGGCAGAATAATACTGTACCGGTACAGTGATGGATACCTTTGCCAAAATAAAAATGCCTCAATCGCCAATGTCATCTCTGCTCTAGCTCATGAGTTCAACGACACAACTGAACAGAAATATCTAAAAAAGAGGCACACTCAAATGGAGTTTGATAGTGTTCATAGCGTCATAAACCTGTTCTGTTTCTTGTCTGACCTTTTATGTTTTATCCTTTAAAGGTTTAGAAACTATCAACAATACCGAGGAAAGCTGTGATAAGCACTATGATAATTTGCCTTCTAGCAAACCACGCTTTTGACGTAATAAACTGCTGTGCGCAAGAGCTTAGTACATTGTATCAGAGTAAAAAAGGAATCGAACAGTGTGCCAATTATCTCATTACAAAAACACCTTTTCCCTTCTTTCATTATCAGCTTCGAAGTGTACGTGCAGTTTTGTAAAGAATGAAACAGTTTTTTCTCTCTCCTAAAAAATTTTGGTTTTAGGGCTTGTGATATCGTATCATGTGGCCGACGATATATGAAGATTTCACAGGAAGTAATAAATGAGAGAAACCGATACAAACCAGGCTTCTACAGCTAGACTGTAAAAGAAATGTCTGGTTTCCATTTTTTTTTCAACAATACTTTTCTGTCGCTAAAATAATGAGAAGCCCCAATGTCTTTTATTCACCCTGTAAAACTAAGGTCAAACTGAGTTTATCATTTTTCCTGCAACATCAAAGATAAACAGTTGAACTGATTCAATCAATAAACCAAACAACTGACTCAACCCACGAATTATTATAGAAATGCATATAGTCACTTCTATGACAAAAAGGTCAATGCACATTTCATAACCACAAAGTAGGACATTCTGTAGCTGATCAGAAAATGTGTCTGTCTTCACAACGATAGACAATGGAAAGACTGAACAACATGAGAACTGCAGGGACATTACACAATGGAGGTATTGTTTAGAGATTGAGCAAGGAGAAGCACATCAACACCATAATGGTCACTTCAAGCAGGACAAAAAAGAGAGACAAAGGAAAACGAAGCACAGTCGAACATTAAGTTAAGGAGAATCATCAATAAAGAACAATACTTTATCATAATATATAAAGTGCTGGATCGCTGATCGATGTCTCGACATTGAGTATTGTCTTATTGTTTCACTCAGCTGTCCTAATGAAGGCCAGTTTCAAGTGGTATGCATTTTCTCTTAGATACTAAACATTTTCAAATAACAAGAGTAATGACTTCAAACGTATTTACTGGCCAGCATCTAAAGACAAGAACGCCGAAACTGTCAAGAGACAACTAAGTGAGACATGCAACATGTGAAGCTGCACTGTGCAAGTACCATTTATGTAAAAGAACAAGGCAATGACCCCTATAGTAATAGTATAAAATAGATCCACTACATACACAACACCCAACCTTGCTACTACACAACAAGTCACCACGTAATACATACAGTAACAGAGGGCACATAGAAGCTTAGCTTGCACAACAAATAAATCAACTGTTTGGTGTAAGACTGCAATACGTCACGTCAATTTTGAAAAGTGATGTATGACGGGAATTTTACACAGCAGTCGAAATGCAATTGAGGAGAAGGGTGTGTATATGTGTTTGTAAGGGGAAAGGAGGGAGGAAGACAGGGAACAGGATCACACAAGAGTCATTTACATTAGCCCAACAATGAAATAACCCGTTTAGCGTAGTTGGAATGTTTGGCCACCATATAGCCTACTCATTATCTCTTCTAAAAGTTCAAGGGCTGACAGCTTATAATTCTCTTGCTATTACCAAAATTCCTAAATGAGTGTCTTATAATTCCAATTGCAGAGGTGAATAAAGGGAAAAAATGGGAATCAAGGATCTCATTAATCCAGAGTTCTAGTTATTCCACTGAGTAGTTCGGGTAGGAAGAAAAGCATGGGGACAGGAGGAAAATTGCAGTTGTGGTCAACTTGTGCTGATGACACCAGTGAGTACATTAAGTTGACACACACAAAAGAAAAGGACAGGAAAGGAAAAAATATTACAGAGGAGCCCTTCCTTCCATTCAGCAGTCAACAAAAAGGAGACAAAAATCATTTTTTGACAACACAATGGCTGGTGCTTAAATTACAAATCTGTGTTGATAGTAGTAGAGAAAAGCATCACACAGAGGCTAGGATTTAACAATACAACAAAAATTCTTTAAAAATCTAAAAAATCAAACCTATGCCCAAGACAATAATTTGATCAGCAAAATGTATTTTTTAATGTCATATGAGACATGAAGTGTATACACTTCACAATAAATAAGCCAAGACTCAAAGTGAGTTCTTCCATCTCCAAATTCCAGTTGCTCGACACATCTTTTGGGACGATTGGAACTAAAAAGCCAACTTCAACACATTGCCCCCTGCTCATATTCCTACTTTTGTGAAGAAAGTATGGGCAACATGAGTTGCTGAAAGGAAGCAAAACAATAATTTCTCGTTCACAGGCTAGTACTCATAAGCACAAGTAGGCTATCCTGTATTTTCACAAAGTTTAATTTTGGTATCAGAATCATCAATAACAGAAATACAATAAGACAGTAAAATTACATTTTGTCAAGGGGATACCCCAATGCCAAAAGATGGTTTTGATATCATTATTAAAACATAGGTAGAATGCAGGAAAGCCTACTTGTGCTCACAAGTGTTGCAGTTCAAAGCCTGAAAATCATTTTGGGTCACATGATGATCACCAAAAATAGTAGAAGGAACTAAAATATTGAAGGTATAGTTCTGAGCTTTCCAATGCTCTAATTATTTCTTAATTTAAAAATTGACATGGACAAATGATGAATGAGAGAAAGCACATATATCCCTGTCAACATCATGCCACCCATAATGCCAAGATCTTCACTTCCTGTCACGCATTCACAAAGTAATTATCAAAATGAGCAAAATCGCAGTTTTCATTACACTAGTAGCAGAAATTTCAAATAAATATAAACTAAACTAATAGATGAAAAACATGAGAGATTATAATGATAATAAACAGCTGCAAAATATTGACAACAATTACTTACTAAATACAATTAATGATACAACACAGAATTAGGAACAAACCAAAACTTTGGTAATATCACAGACATTAGTTGTGAAAGGATGGAAATAAAATGTCACAAGCTGATAGTAGACTAATAAAACGAATGGATGAACTAAAAAAACAACTAACATCAACTCCTCAAAAAAATGTCAAACATTACATTATACTAAAACAACAGCTTGCAAAATGTCATCTCTTCCTCATCTACATTATACATCAATCTTTCAAGATAAAAAGCTCAGATCTAAAACAACGCTTGGTTGAAAAATTACAACTGTGTTCTACAACAAAATAAAAATTATCTACAATCTATATTTTGTACCTGTGGATCACAGAAGACGATGACAACCAGAAAGCATTAAGAATGAGTCAGAGGGATTAGACAGGGTTCAGGCTACTTGTGGCCAGAACAAGTAAGCCCTTCACTTGACAAAATGTACTTGAAACTTGTCACAGTGAATGATTCACTGTTGCGACGTGCTTTTCTTTTCTTGTCACAGTACACTATTTATGAATTGTAATATGCTTTTTTCTTGTCGCAATACGCTATTTATAGATTGTAATATGCATTTCTCTTATCACAATACGCTATTTAGGCTATTAATTGTAATGTGCTACATTATTACTGCAATGTGCTAATTACTTGTTGCAGCGGGCAGTTAACTTGCATATGTTGTTCACTTAACTCACAGATATATTCACTTGTCACAGCCTGCTATTCTATCCAAGAGAGCAAAGTAGATTTCAGAATTTATGTCCAGTTAAAATCATAGCTCATGGTCAAAAAGTGGTAACATGGCGTGTAATAAAAACAAAGTCAAAATAAAAGAAGCATTGCAGGGTCTTTTAAGTAATTGCATTAACTTAAACTCAAAATGCACAAAAGTAATCGTATGAAAGGTCATCCTGAATCACCACAAATGTAACATCTTCCTGATGGGAAAGAAACTAAACACTAATCAGAAGCATATCAAAGCATCCTGTTTATCTTTTAAAGCTTCATAAAATCAACTAACGAAACTATGTCCGACTCTTTCAAAGTTTTACTCAGATGAAGTATAAACCCCCCAACCAACCATGCTACGCATTACGCATCAATGACATCAATGTCAAAATAACTTCGGTCTCACCGCATGGTCACAGTTTTTTGTATTAAACAAACATTTCTAAATCCATACAAATCCCCATCACAAACAGCACCATTTCCTTCACAGTATAATACATGATCTCATTTCACCTGGGTTACCTCTGCCACTTTCTACTGTTTCAGGGTGATGATACACTTACCAGCATTCATCAGCGAAAGGATGTAATTCAATACAGTAATTAGCCTTTTCAATATCCATGAAGAACCTTGCCTGCTCTCAATGGGCAATATTGCAATACCGCAGTCTAAAAAGCTGAAAGTCTGGTCAAGAGAGTAATCACATCATCCAGAAACAGTCGTTAGCTCAGGTCACAATCTGTGGGTGCCAGAAAAGGTCAAGCAATCACAGGGTCAACTGACGGGTCAGCTGAACATACCCTTCAACCTTGACTTCTCCTGCTCATCCTTCACCTTGACCTTCTGGTCCAACTTGGCCAGCTCTTTCTTCACTGCACCCTCCAGGCTGGCGTCGAGGGTTGTGACACGGACAAAGTCCTCCTGCGCCTCTTTCACGTTCCAAACAGCCGCGTGGGCCTTAGCCCGACGGAACAAAGCCTTCACATTGTCTGGAAAAGAAGATGCAACGGTAGAACAGAAGTCATTATCAACTTGTCCGAAGGGAGGGAGGAAGAATGCATGAAGATTTCAGGAGAGATGAAGGTATTAATCACAATTATCCATTTTTGTCTTTGTTCATCTTGACCTATTGTGTGGTTCGTTCCATTTTGTCCTTCAATTTTACAGTTATAAGAAATGACAATCATGCTACCAACACACTTAAAACAGCCGTTCAAGGAATTAACGCCAGATAACCATACAACCTTGTGAAAGAAAGGCAGCTGTCTACAATAATTTTTTGTATTAATTGCCCCTTTTCCCAAAAAGAATTCATATACTTCTGATCTCACCTTGTGCCCTGATTTGACGTTGCGTAAGCCAGGATGTTGTATCCTCTCAACCCAGATTGATCCTGACGGGCAGGGTTGAAGCCCACCTCGAAAATGATCTAAATTGTATTGATGGGGCATTAAAACACCTATTTCTTTTTTTTTTTTTATGTTTCTTTAAATTTCTCTCCCCTTTCCTCCTCTTACCAGGTTCTCGCTGCAAGACATCAGAGGTGTGTGTGATTACAGGGTAGAAGTCCTCTGTCAGGAGTTTACACTGACAAAAGTTGAGCAGCAACGGTCGCTTCATGTCATCCAGGTGGTGCCACTCCTCCTCCCCAGGCTTTTCTCTGGAAGGTACAACACCAAAAAGCCAGCTTAGACTCAAAGATCACATGTACAGAAGTTTTACACTTGTACAATAACCGAAATGTCAGTGTGGAGAGGCAGACCAAACTGTGGAACACATCCTCCAGCAATGCAGGACATACAGAGCCCTGAGACATGAAATGTGGCCAACCCCATTAACAGTACAGGTGGAGCTGTACAGGCCAGCAGAGAAAGTATGCAGGATGGCCCAGTATACGACGTTTTCTAGATACCTGTACTGGTCTTCAAGTGTGATGTGATCGAGAAAAATAATCAAAAGAAAACAAAACCCGTTCAACTTTTTAAATTTTTTACACAGTATACTATCATCAGTACAAACCCCACTGTTGCTGATAATAGCAGCAAGATTTTTAGTTCCTGTCTTAGTCATAGTGTATTTGCCTCATCCAATATTTTCATATTTTCTGTGTTCAGTTTATTCACTTTTTCCTTCATACTATTTTGATTCTTATTTAATCTTTTGATCCTTTATACTCTGCTCCCAGCTTTATACACAGTTACTACTCTTTTAAATAGTTTTGTTTTGTCAACACTAAGTACATCTTGTTTTCTTTCATGATATTTTTTCACATTAAACCTATTTTCTTGAGTAAAAAGAAGCACATCAACATGTTTTTTAAAAGTTTTAGAAGAGGTTTTACGGCGCTCGCTACTTCATAAGGTCATATGAGCGCCAGAAGATTAGAGGTGTTACAAGAGAGTAACAAAAATTAAAAAGAAGAAGGGGAGATAAGGACAATAGATGTTTGATAGGAAAGAAGAAGCAAACCACAGCAGAGCACCCGCCAAGCACCCACGCATCAATGGACAGAGCAAGACAGACAGACAGAAGCAACAGGAGAAAATAATTATAGTAGAGGGTTTTACGGCGCTCGCAACTGCATAAGGTCATATGAGCGCCAAGGGGTGGGTGTCAATAGAGAAGTCTTTACAGGGAATCAGACTTACTCTGCTCACCTCTCTAGCTTCAACAGCACAAGGTCTGCTTCGACTATCAAGGCACCCCGGAAATAGCAGGTCACAAGAGAGTGATAAACATTCAAAAGAAGTAGAGGAAAATGACAATAGTAAGGATTAGGAAAGAAAAAGCAGCAGTTCCCTGTTGTAGATCAGGCACAGTTATGAGCGTGACATGAATCAGCCCATTTACAATTCAATTATGCTTGAACGAGAAATGTCCTCCCTTTGGAAATGGCCTAAAGACACTATAGTCAGTGGCATTGCCCCGGGGGAAACAGGAGAAAAGTAATGAGATATGTTTTTAAAAAAATAATAACTAAAATGTAATCATATAAATCAACAAAGAACTGCAACCTCGCAGGGGGCAGGGCCAGTAAACACTACATCATCTCAAAACAAAGTCAGCACAGCTTAAGAGCTTGTCTCCTTATGCACGACTGGTCCTTGTCACTCTAAAATCAATCAAGTAAGATTATAAAGAAACTGTCTTCTTACACGCCACGTGACGTTTAGTCGCTCGCAACTGTCGCGTCCGATCGGTCCTTGTAGCGATCGAGAGTCTCGTCACGTGTGACAGACTGGGGGTGTGTCAGGTTTAGAGCATCACCGTTGGTCAAAATACCTAGCTAAGGCGTGCCCACGGTCGACACGCCATGTGTGGGGAGTGTGTGTGTGTGTGTGTCTGTGTGTGTGTGTGTCTGAGTGTGTGTCTGTGTGTCTGTGTGTGTTTGTGAAGGCAAGGCTTGAGGCTATGTGGAAAAAAATAATTTGCTACTGTCTCTCTGTTGTGAACTGCCAGTCGCACGCGGGATTTACCAGTCACGCACGACGTAACGTCATGTCACGCAGAAGAAGACACTTTTGTCGCTTCTGTCTCACGCGACTGAAAATTTGGACATAAGGATACACACCTCACGACTGTCGCGCGCGACGTTACGTCGCGTCGCGCATAAGGATACATAGGCTTGATACTTAGGGGACAACATTTTTACTTAAAGACAAACTGAAACAACTTTTGTCAAAGGCAGTAAGTATGAGACAAAAGATTCATGTTCAACTGTTGACAAACTCGATTGCGTAAGCCATTTTCAAGGAAATGGCGGCCATCTTGAAAATTGGATACAATTTTTTTTTCTCCACCATTCTACAGTTTTTTACTTTATAAAAGGACCCTAGCGCTACCCACGTACTCGGGGACTGTGCACTTCCCTAGCGCTGCTTTTGGCACTACGGGGCTGCAAAGAAACAACCTTTGACCTTTGGATCGAGTTCAACAAGCCATCATCAGACAGATCTAGATCCTACTGATACATTATATCTAGATCTAGGTAAATTAATTAGTATGGAGGGAGAATCTAGATCTAGAGCCAAACACTGTTTATTTCAGGCGAATTTGTCATTTATGTTGACAGGTTTGTTGATCAATCTATATAGATTCTAGACCTAGATCTAGTAGTACTTATGACATAGACTCTACACTACATGGTAGATCTACTCTTCTTCAGTTTAAAAATTTGCAGTCTGTGTCTATAATATCTAGGCCTGGATCAAGTTTAGAAAGTGGTATCTTTACGTTTTACAAATTTGTTCCCCATCAAGGTAGACAGCGAAGTGCAAAACAACTAGTAATAATAATGTAGATCATAATTTCTATAGTGCCCTCTCCCATGTGAACACAGCTCTAGGCGCTTGAGAAGCAACAATTCATCCACAAGATACAAAAAAGACACAAAAATTAGAGAGCAGGAAAAGCGCAGCCTGTCACATCATCACTTCATAGTAATGGAACAATAGAGCTCCTAGTCTGAGCTGGCTCAGCCAGAAGTTCATTCATGTTATGTCTTATGTGTGCTGTTTTGACGATATCTGTGGTGTCATTATTTTTCTCGTCTGTGGACCTTGACAACATATATAATGCATAGGTTTCAGCCTGATCCGTCAGTCCCATAGAGTATTGCACAATGATAGAACCTGAATATCAAATATTGAAAAGCGTAGATTGAATTTCTTTTTAAAAATAAAACACCTGCCAGATATATATTGAAAGTGATGAATTCATAATTCAAAAGAAAGAATTTTGCAAAAGTCAGTTTATCAAAAGCAACCCAAAACTTTTGTGTAAGCTAATCTTCAAAATCTTTTCAAGCTAAGCTGTCTCGTTTTTAATTAAACTTATAACTACGAAAAGAAAAAGACAAAAAGGTTAAGATATTCACTCCATTACATCACAAGAAACTGACATGAGAAAAATCACACAGAAGACCACAATCAAGGGTTATAACTCACTGCAACATCAGGTCCTCCAGCATGGCCAAAGCCTGGCCATACTTGCCAGCAGCCTCCTCATACTCTTTGCGTCTGTATGCATCATTGCCTGCCGTCCTTAGCCGTGGGATACTTTCTAGTTTCTCTGCTTCATTCATAGACCATGACTCTTTCTCGTACTGCTCTGGCAGTATCAGCTCAAGCAGCTCTGAAAACAAAAATTTTAGACAAAACTTTAAGAAACTTGGTTTGAATTACTAAAGGTTTTGAAAGCTAACAAGATGAAGTCATTTTAAACAATAAGGAATTGGTCTGCTGGAAAAATTAATTTTTTGTATAAACATCAAAGTGAAAACCAAAGTATCAATAGGTTTAAACTACTACATTTCATAAAGTTGAAATATTTTCGCATGTACACGCAACTTCACAAAAATACTAAATTTTGTTTTTTTAAAAATCAAAACAGGAACAGTAATGACAACAAACTAGTCTTTCACCCATGAATGTTCTTCCTCAAAGAGTGAAAAGCCTTATTCCAGTAAAAAAACGTTAAAAGTTCCATACCAATCAATACACAGTCTCTATTTCAAAATATGTTTTCCTTTCAGGACAAAATAAGCATTTTTTTTCCCTGCTTTTTTTCTCTGCTGCTGTGCTCATTTCTTGGACATTTAAGAGAGAACCAGGCACGGATGTTAACAAATTGAAAATGTATATGACAAAAAATATATTTATAATAAAGACGATATTATAGAATTCTGAAAAACATCAGAGTTGAAAATAAGCAGGTCGATGAACTGACACATACCCAAGACAAACACAAGTGACTGCGGTTTCTTGACTAGTTCGTCCAAGTCAGCATAGCCCATCCCATGATCGGCCAGAGCCATCATGCCGCAGCAGTGGGAGGAACCTTTGTGCTCTGTGTGACCCTTGGCGATGTCACGCAGACTCTTTGCTACCAGCGGATACACAGCTGTGTGCTGTCAAAAAGAAATCTTTCATTAGTCTTTTCACCACAGTTTAAGCTATTTAGCTCTCTCTCTCTCTCTCTTAATTACCCTGCCCTATCCAGAGTGACTTTCGGAGTCTGAAATATGGGTAGCTACAGAAACTTGACACATGCAACAGAGAGTTCAGAGTCGGGACCTTCAAGTGGCATCTGCCAGTAAAAAGACTGGGTGATGAGACTAAAACTTCTCCAAGGATCTAATTTTTAAAGAAATCAAGACCAGTGTGCCATAGCATTTCTTTGATAAATTGAGATGAGTGATTTAAAATTGGAAAGATTACACACTAACCTACTACAAAAGACAAAGACTAAGAACAGCATCACAATATACATTCTATTTAGAAAGTTAAGAATAAAAACAGATTCACCAATCCATGAATAGTCTGTATTGTCACCATTAATCTCATTGTTAGTCTTTCATTCTTTCTAAGATTTAAACATTCATAACTGCCCCATGCCTCTCAGGCATCTATTTGTTGGTTTGGGTTGGGTTTTTTAAGGCATTGTAAATTATAAACTGAATAGTTCCTCAGCTTTTATTTTGAGACTGGTGAGAAATGGCGCACAGCCAGCATAAATGATGAGCTAGCAGACAAAAGCTGCGAAAAGTCAAAGAAGGGCAGGCCTTCTCTTCTTTGACCTTCAACAGCCAAGGTGTCACCAATGTTTGAAATGTGCTCGCAGAATATCAAAATTCTTCGTCTTTATTCAAAGGCCTAGATCATATCAAGTCTTCATGTAAACTAATTTAAACTGTAAACTATACTGTGACACTGAGAATGAGGGTGGATCAGAAAGTAATGGAAGTTGCCATCTAACAGCTAAGATGTTGACAAAGAATGATTTGCACTTTTAATGAAGCAAAACGAAGTTCACTAAAGAAAACATCCATTTTACAACTTTATTTTATGCATAGTAAATTTGATCTCCTAAACCAATTCATGAAAATTTGTGGTGTGTTTGTGGAGAATACTAATCTCCTAAACAAATTAATGAAAATTTGTGGTGTGTTTGGGAGAATCTGCTTGTTCGTACCACACAGCTAATTGTTGGGTAAGAGAATTTAGTGAAGGGAGACACTGTCTTTTATGACTCACGTTCTAGCTACCCAAGTTCCTCTGTGAAAATGAAAACTATTGATGTTATCAAGAACCACAAAGCGCATGATTCCCATACCTCTATACAAGAACTTAGTGTAGTGACAGATCTGGATTTTTGTTTGGATTGGCGTAAAATATAATTGGTGGAAAACTCCATATGAAAAAAGTATGTGCCCGTTGGATACCACATTTACTAACTGAGGAATATACCAGAGAGAAAAGATGAAATGTGCGTAGAATATTTGAGCCCCATGGACGCAACGTCCTACAGACATTGTCATGAGAAACAAAACATGGATTCCCTTTTCTGGAATTCAATAAAAACACCTGAATTGTACGTAGATAGATGAAAATAGAAACAGACATGTCGTTTTGCATCCGGGACTTCAAAGCAGAAAGAGGCTTTTCATTGTCTTTTTCAATTACAGTGATCCCCTCGTGGTTGATATCGTACCACAAAATACTACTTTGAACCCTTCTCAGTTGAAAATGCCATTGATGAGCAGAGATCAAAGAACGGATTCTCTTGCTCCCCCAAGACAATGCAGCTCCCCACAATGCAAAGACCACATTTCTGTTCTACAAGGGCAAGAGATCCAAGTTTTGCCTCATCTAGCCTACAGTGGACAGGAAAGACGATGGGTGACAATCTGAGGAAAGCAGAGGACAAACATAGATGGCGACAGCTGTTTTTTTTATGCAGTGGTGCCCCAATGGTTGCCCCAACCACGGGATAGAAGAAGAAGAAGAAGAAGCCTACAGTCCTGGCTTATCTCCCTGTGTGTATATCGGTTATTTCATATTCCTAAAGATTATAAGCTTGCTGTACAAAAATGTTTTATGCACTCAGGAGTTAACAAAAGCTGTAAATTCACAGCTGCCGAGTATACCAGAAGTAGACTACCACTATGCCCACCAGAAGTAGCTGTGAAGGTTGAAATCCTGCATACAAGTTGATAAGAATATTTTAAAGGACTGAAAATTTCTTTTTGATCCACCCTCGTGTAAAGAAACTTAATCATTGAACTTGAACTTGTCTATCAGTACAACCTAAAACATGAGATAATTATTGGGATTGATGGCTATCTTAGTCATTATAAAAATAAGAAAATTTACAGCTACCCTTCACAAAACAACAACACACCAATAATGATCTTACTTTGATATCGCATGTAAACTCTGCCACTTCTTTGACCTTCATGGTCTTCAGCAAAATTTCCCAGACCTCCAGCTTGAACTTTTTGCCAAAGATCAGCTCCATGGGCTTAGAAGTGTGCTTGCTGTCATCCAGGAGAGTTCTCTCCTCATCAGTTTTCATGGTGCGGTAATGGAAGACAGCCTATGAAGACAGAAACACTACGAGTCAACACTTCTATGAGCATCAGATATGTCGATGTTGGTTCTCAGTAATCTTGTTACTAATTAAATTTAGGGAGGAATTCTGTAACAAGCGACCACTATGAAACTATGAAACAGAGTAAAATAGAGGGATAGGGGTAGGAGTAGGGGTAGGGGTGGGGTAGTGTAGGGATAAGGGTAGGGGAAGGGTTAAGGTTAAGGTTAGGGGTTAGGCCTCTTATTTATTGTATTTGTTGGGGTGGTCGCGCATTACAGAAGTCCTTCCAAAATTTGCAATTCGCGTAAATTACAACTCCCCTTGCTTTAGCAAGATGTCAGCTCATTCCTATCACTTTACTTCATACTGTCATAATTACATAAGGATGACTCAAAGTTCATATTGGAATAAACTCTTCCTAACACCTCTTCCCCCAACAAGTCGAGAGTGCTTGATCGCTACCCGATCTCATTGGTCGACATATTTAACTTTGCCCCCCTGTAAGGTTAACTCAACTTGGTTGTTCTGTTCATACTAATGATGCAGGGAGGGCCAGTTTTGATATACATTTAGTAACTGGATATTAAAGCTCACATCTCCATTTTCATAATTATAGTCGAAAAAATTTTCATGAATGCTGGAAATATTTAGGAACAAGGGTAGATCTAGTAGTGTGATAATTGCCAAAGTGAAATCTGGGTGTAATATTCGGTTGCGTAAATTCATCCATCTATACTCTGCCTAATCGAGCCCTTTTTAGTTGTGTGTTTTGGACTTGCTGCATTTGGGCTTTTTATTCTGTCCTTCATTCTTCAGGGGTTATACTCCCGTTTTTTTTACTGCAGAAAATTGAAAACTAATAAAAGAAGGAAGTCGAAACTCCAAAATGACGTCATGCTGGACTCCATTTCAAGTCCGAATATAATTTTTTTTTAAAATCAGAACCGAGTCCACAGTCACTTCGTTTCTCAAAACACGGTCTTTTCTTATACTTTTAAAAATAACTCCAACACTTTTCATCCAATCTCCACGAACTGTTCACAGAATGAAGAGAAGATGTATACAGTCCATGCCGGCTTTAAGCACGGTCGTCGGGAGAAAGCTTAAGCGTGCTTAAAGCCGAAGCGTGCTTGAGTGCGAAGTAGACATAATTCAGAGATTTTCATGTAGAAAATTACTCGTGCTATTTCCCTTTGTTTGTAAATAGGCCTATAGCGGTCCCGCAAAAGTGTGCACTGTTATTGAGACACCCGCCATGGTAGTTTTTGTTCGCTTGTTTGTTTTTGTTTTGTGGTCGAATGGGAAATGAAAACTTTATTTAGACGGCCAGTCACGATACAGCACACTAGGCCTACACACTGCCTGTGCGTACCACTGCCCGCTGTGCCACTCATACCACCGCCTTCATCCCACCTCGCGCGTGATACACAATCAGGATTAATGGATAGCGAGGGTCAAAGGTGAAATCGCAGCCAGCCTCCCTTTCTCGTCTCCCCAACTCTCTTTGTATTTTTTTTGGTCGTGTGTAGCATTGCCCTAGGCCTAGGCTAGATCCTATGTCCGCGCGCGCGGCTGTGTGCATCTGCCTTCCTCTCCACCCGCATGAGTGTGTGTGTCCATCACTTGCGTTCTTTGTGTTTCTCTTGACACACTCAACTGCTGCGGTGTAGACTGTGTTCGAACTTCGATGGGTCATCATGAAAATATTGACTGTCTTGTAAATGAAGCGTGCTTGAAGCCGACGTTACCGTGCTTAAGGGCGTATAATTTATACAGCAAAAATTCGGTAAGAGCCGTTTAGCGTGCTTGAGTCCGAAACGTGCTTTAAGCCGGCGGGTTTAAAGCCGGCACGGACTGCACTAAAAATGAATTTGTTAATTTTTTAAAGGCCGGCTCTATTTCTCCGAATGCTCGGGAAAATAAACTTGAACCCTATTTCTCTGAGCGGTTTCCGTTCTCGAGAATTGTTGATAATTTGCGAATGGAGAGGCCCGTTGCGAATGGAGTGGCCCGTGTGTGTGTGTGTGTGTGTGTGTGTGTATGTGTGTGTGTGTGTGTGTGGTGTGTGCGAGTGTGTCAGTGAGTGTGTCAGTGTGTGTGTAAGGTGTGAACGGGGCGGGAGTGGAAGGATTTTTTTTTTGTTTGCATGAAGGATTTTAGTTTTTGTTGTGTGACTAATGCTAAATAGGTTACTGCCAAGGTCGATCAGTCTTGTTTTCTTGAAGTACCTTTTGAAGGCATTTTCAAATGAAAGTATAGTCCTCGAACGTTGCCCCAACCACAATTGAAGTATCTGAATACTCAGACATTTAAAAATCTCTAGCTCTAGAACTTGAATTCGATGCAAAAAAAGCTTCTTCCCAGTCCTTGCAGAATGAAAGATGACACCTAGATTTAAATCTCGCAAATAACCAAAATTTCTTGAGAACGGAAACATTTCGGAGAAACAGAGTTGAAGTTTATTTTCCCGAACGTTCGGAGAAATAGTCACTTCGTTTTTTTAATATGGAATAGATTTTTGCTGGTGGTGTCTGGAGAGTGGATTTTCTTGTATTTTTTAGCAAACTTGAATACTATCTCAGGAAAAAATTCATAATATTCTAATTCATTGTGGAAAAATTTAAAATAAAAATTTGTAGATCTAGATCTAGATTAGATCTAATGTTTGCTAAATGCATGCAAAAAAAAACAACAATCTAGAGTAGAGACGGGGTTGCTTGATCGGGGAGGCACAGGGCGACAAACCTATGGCACGAACCAATTGAGACATGCTAAAACGTCCTCCCGCGTTTATCAACATACAGCAGCATAAAAAAAGGATTTGTGACAGTTTTTAGTCCCAATATAATAAGCAAGCGCTATTTGCAACGCCGCGTTCTAAATAGCTCCCGTGCTATTTGCAACGCCCCGTTCTGAATAGCTCCCGTGCTATTTGCAACGCCCCGTTCTGAATAGCTCCCGTGCTATTTGAAACGCCAGTACTAGATCTAGATCTAGATTTAGATGTAGTAGCCATCGTAAGTTCTGCCTGAATTGTGGAAGCTTTCTCAGTTTTTTAATAAACCTCCTAGGATATGACTCCTTTTTTTATGAAGTTGTCTTATTCCGATCAATATTGGGTAGATCTAGATCTAGATCTAGAAAAATCTAGATCTAGATCTAGATCTAGATCTAGATTAGATCTAACAATTGTTTCTGACATTGTTTGCACAAAAGTAGACGTCTTGTTCATCTCTCATAATCATAATCATCTGAGTTACAGTTTGAGAGCAAGTATAAGTCGAAAGACGCTTGGATAACAATAACAAGACGGTGCAACTCAAACTTTAAGTTAGGCCTAGAGAACGTATATATACAAGCTGTCTACTGTCTAATGTTCAGCGCTTCCAAGCGTGGCATCGAATCCCGGTCCCGAAAGGGTTTGTTTTTTTTCCTTCTCCTGAGCCTAAAATTTAAAAAAAAAAAAAATTAGACTCACAGACCAAGGAAAGCCACTACTGAACTTTAACCAGGCCTAAATTGGTAAAAGGAAAAGTATAGGCTATACTAAGGCCTACTTTGTACAGAGCTCCTCTTGGGGACAAAACCAGAATGTGCATGCTTCATCACTACATAAAAAAACCCGCAAAGCAACAAGATATAATTATGGGAACAATTTGTTGGTCAGTCGAGAAGAGGACAACAACAACAACAACAAAAACCAACAAAAAAACCGTCCAGGACCGGGATCGAACCCATGCTAAAAAAATAATGGTTTGACCTCAAGCGCAGACGCGCTGTCACTTCGGCCATCAGAACTTCCGATAACGATGTGCAGATTAAGCTTGATATTTTACACACGGCGACACGGCATTTTATTTGGAAGTGGCTATTCTCACCCGGGGTGAGAATAAAAATACGATCTACCTCTCACCCCGGGTGAGACTTGCCAGCATAGGCTATTCTCACCCGGTGTGAATCAAGACCTGTTTTTCCTCATTTTGGAATACTGTCCATCAGTGTGGATGATCAAATTGAAAAAAGCCAAGAAAAAATTACGTTATAGCACAAAAGTAAGCTAATTTGATCGTCTTCAAAGATGCTATGGCTATTTCAATTTTCGAATCGAGCCGAACTACGCGGGTCGCCACTTTGTTTTGCCCGGAAGTTCTCGCAAGATCTACTCCTCCCCTCTCTCTCTCTCTCTGTCTCTTTCTGAATACTGTCTATCGGTGTGGACGATCAAATTGACCAAAACAAAGTTAAAAAATGATGTTAAAAAACAAAACTAAATTAATTTGGTTGTCTACAAAGATGCTACGGCTATTTAACTTTCCAAATTGAGCCGAACTACGCAGGTTGCCATTTTGTTTTGCCTGGAAGTTCTCGCGCTACTCCTCTCTCTCTCTTTCTCTCTCTCCACTGCCCACAGACAAAATTGCACGCTTTTAGTTTTAGGCTAACACTACAGTAGTAATTGATCTAGAACGTTTGTTCACAGCACAGAAAGAATTCTATAATTCTGTTATCACAGTGTAGAATTCTGTGGTTCAGGGTGAACACTTCACTGGTAAAGTCTGGTTGGCCTAGGCTATAACGGTGAGCGCCCACCGGGTGAGAATAGCTAAAAGACTCGCCTGCGCTATTCTCACCCGGGGTGAGAATAGAGGTGGCCTTTTATTTAGCACTGGCGCTAATCACAACGCGTTGCCAACCAGTCGTTTTATTTAGCACTGGCACTAATCGCAACGCGGCGTTGCAAATAGGTACTTCCAATATATTATCGTTCTCAGCACACTTAAAAAAACGTTAGAATAGTGCTGAAAATAGTTTCAAGACTTCCATATAAGATCAAATACGATAAGACAAAACTTACTATTATCCTAGGTGGAGTATGGCCGGGACTTCTCCCGAAGAGTGCCTGCCAATGGCGTACTCCTAACGTTCTCTAACTATCCGCTTGTGTCATTCACATTGTAACCCCCCCCCCCCCCCCCCCGTCCCAGTCCCAGACACCGTCCTCACCTTAGCTCCATCAGGAAATGATGGTACATCACCCTCGCCTCCATAAACGACTTTTTTCAGAATGCCTTCTTTCTGAAGCTGAAAGAATGCCTCGGCCATTTTTATTTACTAAACACATAGAATCTAAAGCTTGTCCACAGCCCTCGGAAAAACGGAATACGGTGTACGAAGACCTCGGGCTTAGTGAGAGG